ATTGGTGTGCTCATGATCATAATGGAGCTACACTTGTTCAATTTGATGATGATCAAAAGAAATGGATTAAATCAATTGTCAACCTTTTGGAATGCAAATATATGATGTGATACTCATTAGTTCGATTATGTAAAAAATATAAGGTTGGTTGATAGTTGTCATTGAAAGGTTAGATTTTACGTAGTTGTTCCAGCTATAATCTTCAGGAAAAGCATTAGGAATATCTTGGTGATTTTCACATATTTACAATTGCTAAAACTATAAGTACAATGACCTTTTTAGTTCATTATTACCTGTTTTTATTCTAGTGATTTTTCTAAATCTGGCTAATTAAAATTAGATATAGCTGACGTCTAAGGCGTCTCCACTACTGATTTATATACATTTAAATATTTTAGCATTAATTTAGAGATACACATTAGCTGTCGAGTACTTTTTTAATGTATCTGATGTGTTATTTTTTTTTTTTGGTTTTTTAACATCAGATTATACATTAAAAATGCTAAATTAATAATGTACAAAATCGCTGGGGACTCAATCTATGACTGATAATTAATATACTTAATTATTACAAGCGAGTGAGTGTAGCCTTCGGCTTATGTAGACTTAGGCGAGATTTGGAGGAAAAGCATCGAGATACAATCTCATGTCTCCATAAATTCAATTCAAAGGACTCACTGTGAAGAAAAACCAATTGGAGTATTGAGAAATTAAAAACATCATATTTACGTGATACTCCTGACACATTGAGATATGAGCTTTTGAGTTGTATGAATCCATTATAGTACCCAGCATCATAGTCATCACTTCTTAATTAGCATTCTCAATTCACCAGCACACCCTACACCCTACACCTCCAGCAGAAGCCTCATCTATTAGAGCATTCTCAATCCACCAGTACACCCTAAACCCTACCCATCAGAATCTTATTCTATCCTTGAAAGCTTGAACTTATCTAATAAAGCATTCTCAATTCACCAGTACTTCCTAGAACACCCAACACCATAGTCGACATTTCTTCAATATTCCTCAATCCACCAGTACACCCTGTAGCTTCATTATGGTACCCAGGTACTCAGTAGAGCCAGGATAGTACCAAAACACCCTGTAACACCATTAATGTGCCCAACACCGTAGTCAACACTTCTTCAGTATTCTCAATTCACCTGTACACCAGACACCCTTCACAACACCAGCAGAAGCTTCATATACTAAAGCAGTCTTGAAAGTTTGAGCTTACCATCCAATTGTAGCATTAATGTGAAATATCCTTTAATAACTTTCGTCATTTATCGACATTTCCCAAACCTCTGCGTATGAAACTCTGAACCAATGACCCAACACCATAGACACTTCTTTAGCATTTTCAATTTCAAAATCCAGTGTCTGTAAAATTCTGATACCCTGAGGGAATGTGTTTTGTATGTAGCTTGACACTTCGATTAAGTAGAAATGAGAGTAACTGGTGAACCATCTTGGAATTAACATTGAGCCTGTTAACATTTCAAAACATAAATCACAACAACTTAACATCCAACTGTCTCCATAGATTCAATTTAAAGAAAACCACTGCGAAGAAAACATATTGAGGACATCTCATTTTGTCATGAACTTGATTTAAATTGTTTTTCATAGACGTTGATGTAGAGAAAAGTCAATGTTTACATTTGTTTTTCTCACGCCATCTCGAAACGGAGGTCGGAAGCACTAAAACACCAACTTCGAACAGCAATAACTCGAAAACTAAAGCGACAACAGGGCCTCATACTACAGGAAGTTCATATTGACGTCGAACCGATTCGTTCCATGTAGGTCTCATGTTTGAAATAATTTTTTGCAGGCCCTTCAACAATTTTTATAATAATATTTAGATAAGTACAAAAGGGATAAATTAAAATGCTAAAATAATCATGTATTTATAAAGTATTGCTTAAATATGTCGACTAATATATAAAATTAAAATTAAAATTAAAAGTACTATAGGCCATCATGACTAGTCATGAATAATTTGTACATTATATTTTTAGCATTTCAATAAAATACACATGATATTCAATTAAAATATATATATTGAGATATTATAATAACATCAAAAAAAATTAAATAATTATATAATTAATTAATTCTATATTATAAGGAAGCCTGAATTCCAACATAGCGAGAAGCCTACAATCCAAGCGGTTCGTGCGTAAATGCATTCCTCATCCAAGTTCATCAAATACATCAACCCAATATACGATTTAGATACAATAAAGAAAACTAATAAGTGTCGTATAATGGAATTATACGATGTATGATTGGTTGTGAAATCATTTGATTACAAGGTTTAGTTATTGTTTACAATTTTCCAATTATGTTATTGCGGATTTCCATTTCTGTCAATGTCAATTTCACCTTTGGTCTATGATGGAAATTTCTACACAATTCTATACATGAACAGAATTCCGAACTAAGAATCTACAAAGAATATTTAAACAGTCATTATTTCCTTTACAATTCATTATATAGTTTTTATATAGATTGAGCCTGATACTTCTTATTATGGAGTCTGTTACTTCATACATTATGGAACCTTTTACTTCATATTAATACAAACCATTATCTACTCAACCAGCCAATCAACCATTAACATTACTAGCCAATCATCTTCTCTATCTATCCAACCCAAACACAACAAATTATCACAATAATAAGGTGTAATCAAAACAGTTTACAAGCTAAATTTAGTTTTGTGGTCTTTTTTGGAAAAAACGGTATGCATATCAAAGTGGCCCAAAAATCTCATTTTTTTGTAAACAGGATCTTTGGCCGAGTGGTTTAAGGCGTTCGACTCAAGATCGAATATCGTAAGATGCAGGAGTTCGAATCTCCTAGGATCCATTATTTTTTGCTTTTTTCGGGCGAAACCCATTTTTTTGATATTCCAGACAAGTTGAGGGTCTATAACTGTTATATGATAAATATCTACACTTTCCTTTTACTTTCTAGTCAGTGTTTTCCCATTTTAAGGTGTTTTAGGTGTTGTTTTCTTAGTTTTAATTTCCCAATGTATGCTCATGATAATTTCTCTAATCGCGATTGGGAAAAAAAAAGATTCATCTATCGATGAACGTTCACCAGCTTTCTACATCAGATCTCATCATCAACATGACCAAATCCACAAATGTTTATATCCTGGGCGCAGGTAGTATGGGAGGGCTTGTTGCCTGTGAGCTTTCCTCTTTAGCAAATTGTCCAAATATCACACTATTGTTAAGAAACCCTGCAAGAGTTGAACATTTTAGATCCATTAATAAATCTACAATTTATATCAATAGATTATTCAAAGACCCAGTGGAGAAAATCTCAAATAAATTCAATTCGGCCTCATCAAAAGATATCAATGAAGATATTGAGAATTTAATCATCACCACAAAGACTTATCAAACCCAAAATGCACTTAAAGATTATTTACCATTTATCAAACCAACTTCAAACATATTATTAATTCAAAATGGATTAGGTGTTGTTGATGAATTATATAAAGATGTTTGGCCAAACATTGGTGAAAGACCAAATATCTACCAAGGTGTTATATCTCATGGTGGGTTTATCACTTCAAATACTGGTGATAATTATGAGATTTCTCATGCAGGGTTTGGTGATTTGAAAATTGCCAAATTCCCAAGGGATCCAAATTCAGCAGAGGAGGAAGAAATTGTTAAACCAGATTTCCTCAAACAGTTAGAAGACGCAAAAGGTTTAGCTACAAGTGTTTTGAGTTATTCAGATTTATTATTGATCCAATTGAAAAAATTTGTGGTCAATGCATGTATGAATCCTGTAACAGCCATTATCAATTGTGTTAATAAAGAATTGAAGAGTTTTGATGATTTATCAAAATTATTCATGGATATAACAAATGAAGTGATTGATGTTTTCATGGCTACAAATCCATTATTATCAAAGAATCCAAATGCTTCTAAAATCCTAGATAAACAATCATTAGTAGATTATGTTGTGTTATGTGGTACTGTTTGGAATGCTCAAAATTCTTCATCAATGAGACAAGATACTTTACATTTAAGAGATACTGAAGTTGATTATATCAATGGATATGTTGTTAAAGTTGCTGAGGCTAATGGTTTAAAAGCTGATGTAAACAAGACAATTACAAATCTAGTTAAATTAAGACTTTCAGTTAATAGAATTAGAGAGGAATAGATTATTCATTATAATGTTTTTGTGTATCATCTATAAAACATACGTGGTTTCGGACCCATACTAGCAATTGTTTCTTCCTGAGTAGTGTATAGATCCGAAAATTGTTTGAATAAAAGTGTAGGGTCTTGATTTTCAACTTCTATTGGGTCAATTTCGAAAGGTTGAACTTCATAATCATCATTTCCATGTTTAGATAAAGTTTGCAATTCTGCAGACATTGCTAGCATCAACAAATTTTTAGCATTTTCTAAAACCTTTAAAGCTTTAGATTCATCCTTTTCTTCAACCAAATATCTAACTTCATTGGAGAAAGTTGAAGCTAGTTGGAAATGTTCAATCCCTAATTGTTTGAAAAAAACACTTGAAGCAGTAATTATATGACGAACTTGTAAGATCTCTAATTTATTAATTGCATTTCTCAACATGAATGGACTGACCAAATGGGAATTGTATGAATCTAGAATAGTTGACTTCCCATCAAAGATGTCAATTGCAACATATTTATAGCCTTTTGGTGGGACTATTTGACTTCTATAGTTATAACCAATCAACTTAGAGCCAGGTGAAGACATCCATAAAGGTTCTAAAGGTTGACCAGATGATGTGGCACATATTTTTATAGCCGGAAGTAATGTAACTATATCTTTATCATGTGTAGGGATATAGTTGTAACTGCTAAATTTATTGGAAAAATTCCAAAATGATGCACTAATGAAATCATCAATGATATGTTGAAACTCAGGTTCCACTGTTAAAGAACCATTTAACCAAAGAGGTACTTGAGATTTATTGAAAACTGAACTTAATTTCTCTTTCCCAATTCTTGCTCTTGGTTTCGCCATTATCTATCTTTTCTATCCTTATCATAAAATAAATGGAGATCATTTTGCCATTTTGTCCCCATCAATTCCGTTCCAAATTGGTTTGCATATGTTGTTTTACCTGTATGTTTGTAAACCAGTTTTTTCAATTCATCTTTATATCTTTTAGTAGCCTGTTCAATTTCCCCATTACAACTTTCATCAAATTCATCCCAGTTTGATTTATTCAGTGTGACTTTATTATTCCCCATTTCTTTTAGTGCGAAAAACTCCATTGTGTGATTTAAGTCAGCATAAAATGTCTTCCAAAATTCAGCAAATAACCTATGAGTTTTAATAACATCATCAGCACAATAATTCATACAATTTTGAAATTCATTTACGATAAGATCTTTTGAAGTTGAATCGAAAAATGACCGAACATCTTTATTCATAACTTCACCAAATTGTTTCTGATATAAAGTGTGTAATTGATAATCAGCAGGTGTATAAATATCTAGTAATTTTGGAGCTTCATTTCCTTTGAATAATGATTCAGCAGCTTTAACAAACACCGAGGGTTTCCGAATAGTTGGAGTGCCATATCTTGAATGGAATAAAGAGATTGTATCAATATAAAAACTATTTGAATTTTTATACGAGATGTAATCATCCAATACTTTTGATCTATCAAAATTCACATTATGACCAATGATGATCTTATCTTCATTTTCAGGATTCAATGGGATTAAATCACTTGGAGTTGAAGTTTCACCAGTTAAGTAAGGTGATACCCAACCATACCATGCCTTTGTAGAAGAACAAGTAGCTAACGTTGGGAATGAAGAAATCTTGTATAAAAGCTCAATATCAAAACTTATAGAGTCTTCTAATGGATGCGACACTTTTTCAGGGTTCTTGCCTTCTTCATATCTATACCAACCTGATTTGAATTCCCAATTGGATGGTTTTGGAGGTAATTTTGATGAGGCCAATGCATTTGTTTTTGCCAAATATGGTTTTGTCAGATTGACTGACATCTGATGGAAAATTTTAGCAGCATTTGACTTGCTTGCTAGTCCTATAAGGGTTCTCGACATTATCCAATACTACCAATTGATCCAACACCAACAAAAAGCATAACGAAGAATTGATTCTGCAGTTTTTTTCCAAGTTGTTGTTGTTTACGTTTTTTCTGATGTGTCTAGTTTTTTTTTTTTTTTTTACAAAAATATACCTGTATTTTCTAATTACTTATTAAGCTATATAGAGCCACAGGGTTTGGATTTATCTCAAAATATTTGATTAGTTTTGTTTTGAATTAATTTCGCGAATTTCGCGAAAGTTATTTTTTTTTTTTTTTTTTGGTTTTTCCTTTTTGAGAATTGAGAAAAAACTGAGATCTGAGAATTTGAATTAGAAAAGTCTGTTTTGGAGCATTTGAAAGAACCAACGAGCCAATTGGACTTGATTAGAGTAATGGCATTGGGCTCTGAAGGATTAAGAGCGTACAGTGCGCCGGGGAAGGCGCTAGTGGCCGGAGGCTACTTGGTGTTGGACAGAGCGTACGATTCCTACGTGGTGGCATTGTCCTCCAGAATGCACGCGGTGGTGAAGAAGGACGATGGTGGTGCTGGTGAAGAAGAGACGGTGGTGTCCGTCAAGAGCCCGCAGTTCCTCGATGGTGAATGGGTCTACCTGTTTAAGGACGGCGTGTGCACTGAGCAGAATGGTAAAGTGAACCCCTTTGCACAATCCACAGTGTCTACAGTATTGGCCTATATCAATCCAAATCAACATTCCAAGATCCAAATAACAGTGTTTTCAGATTCTGGTTACCATTCACAAGAGAACACAACCACCAGATCATCTGGATCAAGACAATACTCTTACCATTCACAAAAGATCACAGATGTCCCTAAAACCGGACTAGGTTCATCTGCTGGGTTAGTCACCGTGTTAACAACTGCTCTTTATTCATGTTATTCACCAGATTTAGATTTGAAATCAAAACAACAGCTACAAATAATACACAATCTTGCTCAAATCGCTCATTGTCAGGCACAGGGGAAAGTTGGTTCAGGATTCGATATTGCTGCAGCCACTTTTGGTTCCATCGTTTATAAAAGATTTGATCCTTCATTAATCAACAATTTAAAACCTGCAAATGAAATCACCCCCTTAGAAGACCATAAACAATTGGTTAAATTAGTTAATGAAACTAAGTGGGGTATCAGAAATGATAAAGTCGCTTTACCTAATGGTATTAGATTGATAATGGGTGATATCAAAGGTGGTTCAAATACTCCGAAATTAGTTTCAAAAGTTTTGAAATGGAGAAGTGAAGATCCCGAGAGTTCTAAAATTTATAATGAATTAGATAAGTCAAATATGAAATATGTTGAATCTTTAGATAAGATTAATAAATTATGTGATACAAATCCATATGAATATGAAAAATTACTTGATTTTGTTAAAACCCATAATTCAATTCAAGTTATGGAATCTGATGAAGAAAAACTACAATTTTTTAAACAAATTATAAAAGCAACTTCAATTGTTCGTTCAAATTTTAGAAAAATAACTATTAAATCAGGTGCTGAAATTGAACCAGAACCTCAAACAAGATTATTAGATGAATGTAATAAGATCAATGGTGTCATCTCTGGTGTGGTCCCAGGTGCTGGAGGATATGATGCCATTAGTTTATTAGTTGAGGAAAGATCTGTTGATAATTTGATACAATCCACCAAGAATAATGAATTATTTCAAAACGTAACTTGGATGGATCTCCATGAAGAAGCTGATGGGATCCAAAAAGAGCAACTCGGAGACTACATAGAGCTCCTATAGATGTTTAATGAGAAAAAGATAATGGCTTAATAGAGAGAGAAATCTGCATTTGCATTTTGAATTGTAGTTGAATTTAAACGTATTAGGTTTATTTGCCGGGTAAAGTTCGCGAACAGTCAAAATTCGTTTTTGACTTTCTTCGGGAGTTTGAAAGGACTGGAGAAGGCTCATAAAGAAGCCAAAGAAAGCATTAGACTGATTTGTTAGCTGTTGCTGGTGGTTAAGATCATTTTATAACAGGTTGCTTTACTAGATCGGAAATAGCTTTGCTCAAATTTTGCTGTTTCGAGTCTATTCCAATTCCAAGGAGGCACCCACACTATAAACATCTTCAAGAGGATTGCCACTAAGTAACAATCATGAACACTCTAAGGTCCCGTGCTGCGCTTATAGGGAGACCTGGGTTCATATCTTCAAGATTATCCACAAGAATATCCAACATTTCAAATGTTTGCCTTAAGAGACAACCATTACTCAATCAAAATGTCCGTTCATTTTCATGTTATAAACCTTTAGCTTTCCAATATTCAAGATTCAATGCTAAAGATGAAGATGGTAAAGATAAGAAAAACAAGAAAGATGGCAAGAAAAACAATGAAAGGGACTATCAAACAATGGGTGAATATTTCAAATCTAAAGAGTTTTACAGAAGTTTATATCTAACATTAGGTCTTACATTGGTTTTCTATTTAATAACTCCAGGTGATAGCAGTGCTCAAAATATTTTAACATTTCAAGAATTCAAATCAAAATACCTAGAAAAGGGTTTAGTGGAAAAAGTGTATGTTGTCAATAAGTACTTGGTTGAAGCTGAATTGAGATCTGAAGCTGGTGTTAGTTCATTTGGTGGTAAACCATCCGTTGCATTCACTATTGGTTCCGTTGATGTATTTGAAGAACAAATTGATGAAATCCAAGATCGTTTGAAAATCCCTCCAAATGAAAGAATCCCTGTTGCCTATGTTGAAAAAGCATCTATTTTAAACATTTTGGTCCCATTCTTACCAACTGTTTTATTATTAGGTGGTCTTTACTATTTAACGAAAAGAGTTGGTCAAGGCTCGGGTGGTGCTGGAGGTCCAATGTCTGGATTATTTAATGTTGGTAAAAGTAAGGCAAAATTATTTAATCAAGAAACTGAAATTAAGACGAAATTCAAAGATGTTGCAGGTTGTGATGAAGCAAAAGAGGAAATTATGGAATTTGTTGAATTTTTGAAAAACCCTCAAAAATATGAAAAATTAGGTGCAAAGATCCCAAGAGGTGCAATCTTATCAGGTCCTCCAGGTACTGGTAAAACTTTATTAGCAAAAGCAACTGCAGGTGAAGCTGGTGTTCCATTTTTATCAGTTTCAGGTTCAGAATTTGTTGAAATGTTTGTAGGTGTTGGTGCATCTCGTGTTCGTGATTTATTCAAAACTGCTAGAAAAATGGCTCCTGCAATCATTTTTGTTGATGAAATTGATGCAATTGGTAAAGAAAGAGGTAAAGGTGGAATGGGTGGTAATGATGAAAGAGAAGCAACTTTAAATCAATTATTAGTGGAAATGGATGGGTTTGAAAGCTCAGATCATGTTGTTGTCCTTGCTGGTACAAATAGACCAGATGTTTTAGATCCTGCCTTAATGAGACCTGGTAGATTTGATAGACATGTTTCTATTGATAGACCTGATATTGAAGGTAGAAAAGCCATCTATAGAGTCCACTTGAAAAAATTAACTTTAAAGATTAATGAAGATGGATTTGTTGAAGAGAAAAATGATGATTTAAGTGGTAGATTAGCTGCTTTAACTCCAGGATTTTCAGGTGCTGATATTGCGAATGCTTGTAATGAAGCTGCTTTAATCGCTGCAAGATATGGGGACAAATTTGTTGAGTTAAGACATTTTGAACAAGCCATTGAAAGAGTTATTGCAGGTTTAGAGAAAAAATCAAGAGTTTTATCAAAAGATGAGAAGAAAGTTGTTGCATATCATGAAGCTGGTCATGCTATTTGTGGTTGGTATTTAGAATATGCTGATCCATTATTAAAAGTTTCCATTATTCCAAGAGGTCAAGGTGCTTTAGGTTATGCTCAATATTTACCTCCAGATCGTTATTTATTATCTACTGATCAATTCAAAGATCGTATGACTATGGCTTTAGGTGGCCGTGTTTCTGAGGAACTACATTTCAAATCTGTCACTTCCGGTGCTCATGATGATTTTAAAAAAGTTACAAATATCGCAGAATCAATGGTTAAAACATTAGGTATGTCTGATAAAATTGGTTATTTATCATTTGATACAAGTGATCAAGGTGGATTCCAAGTTCAAAAACCATTTAGTGAAAAGACTTCAAGAATTATTGATCTTGAAGTTAAAAAAATCGTTGACGAATGTTATGAAAGATGTAAAAACCTATTGGTGGAAAAAGCTGATGGTGTTGAAAAAGTTGCACAATTATTACTAGAAAAAGAAGTTTTAACAAGAGATGATATGATTAGATTGTTAGGTCCTAGAAAATTCAAAGAAAATGCAGATTTCGAGAAATACTTAGGAGGTGGTAAAAGTGCACCTCCTCCCCCACCTGAAGAAACAGGTCCTGCACCAGTATGAAGGATTTTTTTCAAAAAAAGATATAACTTGTACATAGAGAATATCATTTGATTACATGAGAAAATTGGAATGATGTAGTAAAAAAAAGCTGTTTCATTATTAACATATATGCAAATTTTTCATCTCATCCACTAGCAGCCAACACTTCTCTCTTCACCAATTTATGCTCAAAAAGTTTCCTCCTCCATATTTATATCTTGAGCTTCAGTAATATCATCAGGAACTTGAAACCCTTCTTCTGTTGTATATAAGATTTCTTGAACTTTTAACAAAATTTCTTTCAAACTTGGATGTTGTTCCACAGTTGATTCATCTTTCAATAAATCACTTGTACTTTCAGTCAAAATTTCAATCTCTCTCAACTTGTTGAAATAAAAATTTCTTTCAGTTTCTAAAGCATCCACTGCTGTTTTATATTCTAGCAATTCATTTTCACTTTCTGCTAATCTTGTCTTTGTAGCATTCAACTCATTTTGTAATTCAGCATTTATGGCAGCATTTCCGTTCGAAAGTGATGATACTCTCGAAGTGGGTTTGGAGCTTGTACTTCCAATTCTTGAACTAGCTCTTGGAAGAACACCGCTTGTGGAATTAGATGATGAAGATGAAACACTGCGACGTACTGAAGCACCATTATTTAAAGCAACTGCTGACGATGATCTTGAAGGCCTCGTTGAGTTTGAATTTGAATTGGCTGGTGGCATGTATTTTCTTCTCGAGTTTGAATCATATTCAGATTCATCTTTGTTTTCTTTCCAAAACTTTCTAACCCATTGAAAAAATTCTAAATTATCTTGAAATTTGCATTTGATTAGCCTTTCGACGGGTATAGTTTTGGATATTTTGTGTTTCAAGAAAGAGGATTGAAGGACTTTAAAGTTGTTGAGGTATTCATATTCCTTTGTAGCATCAAATTTGACTTTACCCATAGGAACATCCAAATAGATTGAATCCAAGATTTGACAATAAGCAGCACCAGTTCCTAGTTGTTCAACTTTGGTATAGTTCAAGTTTAAAGTGGCATTTAGCCAGTTCAACAAATCCGTACGTGATTCTCCAGACATTGGTGATGATAGCAGTAATAACAACCTGAGTGTTGATCTGATCAAATGCTTCCATCTGGTAACAAATTGTAACTTGTTACGCGTCAATTCGAAAACGTAAACAAACCAAAACATCCAGACACCTCAGATCATGAGGGAGGGTAAAAATATAGATTTTCGCGAATTACAATGTGAAATGATCTTACAACGAACTACAATAAACGTCAGCTCACTGCAATTAAACAATGTGTGCTATCTTGTAACTGCTGAGCCGAAGTTGGTCTCCATGTGTGCTGGTAGCTCCAGCTAAGGAGATCTTATGACGAAAATGAGCTACATTGAACCATCGAAAGCAGTTTTCATTCCATAGGCCAAATAAACACATAAACAACTCATCATTCGTTCATTCGTCATCTTCTTCATTTTCTTGAACCTCTTCATTATCTGTTGGCTTCAAAGATCTTTCAAAGAATGGCTTCATCAAACTATCATAATAATGAGGCTTAATTTCAGTATTGTTATCAGTAACGAACTTGAAATAGTTTTCATAGATATCACCATTCTTTTTACCAATTTGAGAACCAATCATGAAATCAGATAAATTGAAAGCATCTGTTAATCCAATAATGTTTGGTCTTAATAATTCATTAATTTCATCAATTTTGTAATTTAAATTTTCCAAAAAGTCTGAACCTTTGACAATATTGAAAGAGTAAAATTGGGAAATGTTTTCAGAAGTGATGTGAAGAGCGTAAAGCTGTAATAATAAGGATAAAATACTCTTCAAGTTTTCTGGTGCATGAGAAACCCTTTGATGGAATGTCTTGAGGATAACCAATTTGGTGTGTATTTTGGCAATGTTGAATCTGTTTGAAGCAACTTTTTCAAATGCTAATTCTAAATCACCGTTTGTTTCTTTTCTAAATTGTTTAAATTTAGCAGTAGAACTTTGAACAAGTCTTTTTGAAACAATTTCCCAAGCGTTGATTATTTTTTCAATATATTCTAAATCTTGGGTTCTTAAAACAAAGTCATCATTATCCTCAACCTTCAAATATTTGGTGAAATCACCAACTCTTTCACCTTTTTCCACAGCAAGATAATTTTGAATCAAAGCTCTACCACAACTTAAGGATAAAACATTATTATCACCTTCCCAAGTACATTGAACAACCCAATCGTTATAACCTTGAGCAAACCCATTATAACTTGAATACCCATGACCACCACAACTTTGTCTTGCTTCATCAATTAATTTGGCAGTTTCCCAGGTTGCAAAAGCTTTTAATCCAGCTGATAATGAGAAAAGATCCTTCAAATTTGGAATGACATCTTTAACATTTTTATCACCACCAGCCAATAATTTCAAAGTTTCATCTTGAACCCTTGTAATTTCTAATGCAGAAGAGTTGAATGCATAAATTGTAGCTAAAAATGGGAATAGCCTTCTTCTATGATGAGTATAATCAATAATTTTTTTTTCCAACCCGTCAGAATCTTTACCAAATTGTCTTCTAACAGTAGCATATCTTAATGCAATGGTGATAAACTTTTTACCAATATTATAAGAGTCAACAACCATTGAAACCCTACCCATAACCAATGCACTATAGCCCAATTGTTGAAATTCAGGAACAGTAACTTTACCTCTTGAATCAACTTGTGCATATTTACTCAACATATTGAATCTTGGTATCTTTACATTGGTGAATTGAATCCAACCATTGTCAATACCGTCTCTACCCATTTTCTTCCCAATATCACCAATTGCCACACCAGGTAATAATTCACCATTGTCATTTCTCAATTGAACAACAAAGTTCTTAACACCATAATCTTTCCCCTTGACAACCAATCTAGCGTAAACAACACAATGGGTAGCAGAATGAGCAGCACCACCGATCCACCATTTAGTAGCGCCCAAATTTGGAGTATTAATGGTGAATGTATCATCTGAAGGGTTAAAATTGGCAACAGTTTGTAAACCAGCAACATTTGAACCATGAGCCAATTCAGTCATACCAAAACATCCAAAAAATTTGGAAAGTGAACCAGCACCTTTGGAAACCCAATATTGGAATTGTTGTGGAGTACCTAACGCTCTAAGAGTTTGCAAAAATAACCCATAATGAACACCAACTCTTGTGTAAGTACCAGGATCAGAGATACTCAAGATATTCATTCTTGCACGGATCCCTTGCTCATCGTCATTGTTGTTGTAAGCAGCCAACTTGGTAATTCTTTGGAATGAAACTTCTCTTTGGCCCTTCAAGTCCAAGTTGAAAGTTTTGATGTTGAATAAAGGGTCTCTTTCAAATTGTAACATGATTGATTCGTTTCTTTCAGTGTTTTGCTTGCCATTGTCCAAGAAGTAAGTTAGGTCTCTCACGTTGAACGAGGCGGCACCTCTTTCTTTTGCTCTAGAGGCAATCAAATCTTCAGATTCACTCATTTTGTCGCCTTTGAACTAAAGATTCCTGAAGAAAACAAAATCCAAGTTGACAAATTGCACTTTATTTATGCCTAGTCATGGGTTCGCGAATTCTTTATTGTGGAGTGCGATTTGGAGTTTAACCGAGGAGCCACAAGGCTGGGGAGAGAGGGCTACTATATCCGTGTGGCATTAAAGATTTGTATTACTTATTAATTTATAACTATGGAAATTGTACTGTATAAGGGTCATGGTCTCGTTAAAATTTGGCAGTGAGCCTGATCTTTCCAAGAGAGAAATATCTGGAAAGGAAATAGCAGGTGGAGCTGAGGAATGCTGCCACGGCAGTGTAGACAATAAAGTAGTTGTAGTTGGTGATGGATTTATCACCAATGATGGCTCCTCCAATTGGAACACCAACTAATGTACCAAAGGCAACGATGAAGTACATGGTACTGTATCTTCTTCCAAACTCTTCAGTCTTGCAGATTTGTCCACAACAAACTGGTAACAATGAGAAAATTGAACCTGAAAAGAAGCCATAAACAGCAGCATAGGCATATAAAACTTTTAAGCTGTAACCAAATGGCATCCAAAGAACTAACCCAACGACACCTGAAAGCATGATGGTCACTATGATAACGTTGAATCTACCCAATTTATCAGCTAAATAACCAGTGATGAAACGGCCAGGAATGGTACCAGCATTAACAATTGTGACCAAGACATAAGTATCATCGATGGTGAATCCTCTTTGAATGGCATAAGATGCAAAATAAGTCATCAAACTAACTGTGGAAACTTCAGCGAAAAGAGCACCGATTGCACAAAACACAAATCTTAGATCTCTTAATGAATTGAAATCAAATGCTGATAAGTATGCTAAAGTTCTTTGCTTTAGAGTTTCATTTGCATAATTTTCACTATTGTTGAATCTTTCTCTTGCTAATAATATGGAGAATAAAAGTAAAAAGCCACAGATTAATGCAAAGATTCTCATTGACCATTCAAAGCCAAGTCTTGGAAACAATTCTCTTAATAAAATTGGGAAAATAACACCACCAAATGAACCACCCAGTGTTGCCAATGATGAAAAAAATGCTCTTTTTTGTAAGAAATAGTGAGAAACAACAGAGACTAAAGGTGACATTAATAGTCCATTACCGAAAGCTGTGAGTAAACTGAATGATAAGATGAAGTGAATAACAGTTTTGGAAGATGCAGTAGCGACTAACCCAGAACAAACTAAAGTTGTACCGGCAATTAATGGTACTCTTGAACCGTTTCTATCAAAATAAGTACCGGAAAAGATACATGTGGTATATGTGATGAAAGAAAAAACTGAAAAAACCCAACCAACAGTAGATGAATCAACATTTGATAATTGATGTTCATTGACATAAGATTCAATCACACCCAAGATGTTGAAAAGACCAAAACATGGAATCAATCCCAAAAATGAACCTAATACAACCAAGTAGGATTTTAAACCACCTTCTGGGAAATCATCCACGTCATCCATAAACATGGATACTTTCTTCTCATCATGTGTAGCATCATTACCAATGGTGATTATGGATTCCGCATCTGAATCATGATGTTCATTGAAATCATCTATTTTATGGACTTTGGTGTGCTGGGCTTCTAAATCTTCTATGAAAGCAACTGAAGCACTAACAACAGTTTCTGATGAATCGTATGAAACGAATTTTGGACGTTCTGGGATGGTTAAATGTTCCATTGTATTGTGATTTGATCGATTTGAAGGTTTGATGTGGTTGAAAAGCTAGGACGCCCTTCCGATTACCAAGCTGATTGCTTGTAACTCTTTAAGTAATTTATAGATATTCTTGATCTCTATGAATGGTTGAGTTTAGACATGGTTGGATAATTGATAGAAGTTCAAGTCCTTTTATAATAAATTTTCAACTGGTACTATTTTTGGGATCCACCTATTGAAAAAGAAAGCTCTGCGTCTGGCAGTTTCCCCATGAGCCTTCTAAAGCACGCAGATAACCCTTTCGTGTAGCTCCTTCCATACCCACTGCGCCCAAAACCCTCCAAATCGCATTGTTCAGAATTAAAGCCAAAACAAATCTGCGCTGAAAGGAAAAGTTTCTTTTTTTCCAACGGTTTGGAGATCTCGGAAATAAAAACCTTGAGCCAATTCGAAACAATAACACCAAAAATAAACACACAACGAGACGAGAAAAGGATGGCTAACCACTGGATTATACTGGGTATTTGATCTAATATAATGACATCCACCAATGAACACAACCACTTTAACCCATCCACACTTGCCCATATTCCAAATTCACACTCTGAAAACACCCCCGTGGTTGTGCAAAAAAAAAATTAACCTGCTTTTTCGCGCCCAGTGGTCAATCCCCATGAAGATAGAAATGGCGAGTACAAAATCCATGGAGTTATACTCTGCGATAAACAACAATCTGGCCAGCGAAAAACATGGGCAGACTCGCACTGCAAAAGAAACTCGGTGGAGCAATGAGGAATATGTTTCATCCCCAAACAAGCAACTGTGTACATATGCTACAATTAATTCCTGTGGGAAAAATTTTCACATCGATTTATTGACTCAAGCATGTACCAAGTTCCATGTTCCAACTACTGTGGCTACACATGATTTCCACAAGTGCCCTCTTTACTATTTTTAATTCTTAGATTAAACTTTTATCCTTCATTCTGATTCACTTTGATCATGACAAAGCTGTTTTTTCACTTTCAACTGACTTCTTCTTTCTAGAAAATTTCCCTTTAAGCTTCTTTTGAACTTTCTTGAAAACCCAAAAAGTCGAAATTAAAACACCATGGTAAACAATACACAATGCTGCTAAAAGCAATAAAACATCAACAATCATTTTGAATTAGCTTTATTATTTGCAATCAATTTACTCTAGTTTTGATTTTTTGAGGTTAAGTACTGTTTTATGTTTGACAGGTTATGATTGGGAAATGATAACAAATCTTAAAAACTATTTTATGATACTACGAGAAAGTACTGCTATCGATCAAACTCACGAAGGTCCTGTCTTTTATGTTAAATCTTGAAAAGTAAAAACAACTCATATTAACTTCATTGACAGAAAATTATGTTTCTTTCACCAAAGTTCATTGAATACCAAAAAAGTTATAAGAGTCAATTTGCACACAATTGAACTATACGTCTATCACATGACCCTAATCACTATGAAGACTATGGAGTAGCTCTTATACAGGAATATCCTGGTCCTGTAGTATAACTAGTTTGAACGATTTCATATAAAAAGCTGAAGTTCTACACAATGATCTGTCAAACACTCCGTGTCATTGGCCGTTTCGGATATACAAGGAAGGTACAACAAAAGGCGAACAACTTGAGTATTCCGTCTCTTGTATATTCAACAATAAATATTTGAGAGAATTAAGTGACATTCAAAAGAATAATAAAGTTCAATACATTCGAACAATACAACAAATGTTACACATCAATTAAATTTCTTTCACAAATAAATCAATAATCAAATTGTAGAGTCACTTTCATCATTATGTTTATCAACGGCAATATCCAAACCACCAACACTTTGAGGAGCTGAATCGTCCGATTTCAAGTCATCAGGTCTAGGTTCTCCATCTTTGAATTTTCTCAAACGATCTGAGTCAAAAGAATCATCATCTTTAATATTTCCTTCTTCAATTTTTTCCTCTGGGTAAACATCATCGTGCTTTTGAACACCATTATTTGCAATTCTATCAGGAGTTGATGGCCTAAACATCTTTGAGCGTCTATTGATTTGGTCCTTTGTTGACAGCAATTTGATTTGATTTGAAATCTCATTGACTGGAACTCCTTTTTGTAATAAAATGGCTGATAATCCTGAAACAGAAGGTGAGGCCATAGAAGTACCTGAATGAACCAATGGGTTATCATAATTGAATGCGTCAACACTATTAACCAACACCCCACTGGCGAAAACATCGACACAATTTCCCCAATTTGAAAAATGTGCAATAGAGTCTGTTTTATCATCAATAGCACCAACCGTGATTGCAAAAGAGGAGCTTGCTGGACTTGTAAGACATGAATCAATATTTGCATTACCAGCAGCAGCAGCAACAACTAGACCAGATTCAACAGCTGCTTTAATTGCTTGGTTTAGCACAGTGTTTTTTGCAGAACCAAGGGATAAGTTAACAACACCAGGAACTCCACGGGATTTTCTATCATTAACTGCGAATTCAAGAGCAGCTAAAACCGTACTTAAAGACCCTTGACCCAATCTATCTAAAGCTTTAACTTCAACTAATGTAGCCTCTTTTGCGACACCATAAGTTTTGGAGCCAACAACACCGGCAACATGGGTTCCATGATTATTACGATCTCCATCGCCTTCTGAAGTGAAATCAGCACCGAAGATTGCACGACCTTCAAATTCAGGATGCTCTTTATTAATCCCAGTATCAATGATATAGACAAATACACCCTTTCCATTGAATACAGGTTCATGATAGTAATTCACAGCTTGATTTGATGGAAGTTTAGCGTTTCTTGAAAGCCTTGCAAGATGTCTAGGTGCATCATTTTGAACATCAAAAGGTTTTGAGGCTTCTTCGCCAATATTTAAAGCTTGTACTTGAAAGATGGAGAGATCAGTATTTTCAGCATCGTCATCCACAGGTGAAGGTTGACACACTTCACATGGACCTTCTTCATCACCACAGTAAAAAACATCGGTCAAGGGAAAATAAGAGTGAGAACTTGATAATGAGTCCAAACCTTTGATTTGTTCTTCGTGATTGAGTTCATCTTTGTAGCTCCCTTGGGAGCGTTTATCATGTTTCTTTTTATTAAATTTCCCTTGGAGTTGTTTTCTTTCTAGATTGTTCTGTGGAATATATGATAACATGGTGAGTTCTGAATTTATCTCTTGTTCAGATTCGAAAGCTTTAACAATAACATCAGGGACAATGTCTTTGACAAATGGAGAACTTTTCAATCTTTTAACAACGTCATCAGTAAAGTTACCAGCTATTCCTTGGAACGACCCAATGGTGAGCTTATTTGTGATATATGGTCTGATATGGTGTAAAACATTAGATTTATCATCTTGATCCAACAATTGCTTCAATCCTAACGAGTCTTTGAATTGAATCACATACCCAGAAATTACCAAAGTTGGAAAGAACAAAGTAGAAATCTTCATGGTATAGAGCAAATGATGAAACAAATGAAGTATTGATGAGTGTCAAGTTTTAATGAATTTGTGAGATGCAAAATCAAGATAGCCAGTTACTAAAAGCAAAAATTTGTTAGCCCTAAAAGGAACAAATCAAACCTTATGAATTAAAATTTAACAAGATTCACTTTTTAAGTTAATATTTTTTCTGAAGTTCAAGGTGTCAAGGCAAAAATCCATAAAACACAAAACCGAATTAGTGGCGAGTATGACAAAACATCAGCTAGGTTAAAGCGGCTCAGCATCGAGAGCAAAAGCAAGCAGAATTAGGGCACTGGGCCTCCATATTAAAATCACCAACCTTTTCAAACAGTAAATAAACCATCAAATGCAATCAGGCACCACCTAAGCGATCGAAAAGAACCGTCATTTCAACTGCAATGAATTGGCTTAGCATGAGACACATTAAGAAGCAGCGCCATTAGCCAAAAGACAAAAGTCAAGAGACGCACAAGACTGTGAAGAACCCATTTCATGATATTTTTCAAAGTTTATCGCTATTGTCAACTGTTGATAATAATAAAACTCATCACAAACTACACCACTTTCTTTCGCGAAACCATTTTACAAATTGTAGTCCTGATATTGCCGTTGAAGTCCAACTTTCTGTCCATTTCAAGCTACAAATTAAGATATCTCAGGTAGAGAAATAGATCGCAAGCAAAAGCCTCTCATAGGGAAGCAGAGATTATTATTATCTCCTGTGAGGCAGAAAATAGCTACAAGTCTTGAGAGTTTTTTGATTAAGCACATGAGCAGAAAAAATATGTCGAAGTTTGAAATACTATATAAACGATAGACTTTCCAGTGAATTTCTACAATTGAATATTTGTCGACAAAAACTTTTTACCTGAAAAAAATGGTACTTGAAGCAGCTTTCACCCCCCGGCATACCTAAAAAATAATCTCAAGACAGGTCTCTTTCCATTATAACCTGATCAAATTTATCAAGCATCAATCTATGAGATAGGTCAAAATATCATTATCAACTTCAAAATCAAACAAACAAAACAATAAAACAACAAAACAACAAAACAATCCTTTATCAAAACCAAATATAACTGTTACCATAAATTTTAAAAACCATCAAATAATTTTAATAGGATCATCATCCTTTTTTTTTCCAGGGCGTGGAATTTTCAACAATTGGGCTTATAATCATCAACAGTTTTCACCAGGGCTAACATTTATATTGGTTCATTCAACATTTCTGGCAACAGCCAAGTAAAATTATCACCAAATCATCATTAATCAGAAACGTCAACAAATATTCTAATGGAATCACCTGACCAAATAAGATCAGCAAGACAGCTTTAAACATCAATTTAGATTCTAAAATCCGACCTGGAACAACTTTTCTCAAACTGCGAACCAGCACACCCAAAAACAATGCGGCTGTACCATAGGAAAAGTCTGGTGCATTTTTTATTGGGTCTAGGACTTGAATTTGTTTTGGTGTTCTAGTTATGACACGGTATAATGGTTTTTTTTTTTTAGGTATTAGGAATGGGATCTTTGTTTAGCTCTTTGTTCAAATTCTTTCTTTTCTAGTAACTTTTGTAGTAACTCTTTGCAGTAGCTGATGTTGGTGAGCATTTTGAAAGAAGAACCATCTGGTTCAAGGATTTGACATGCTTTTGTAGGGTTCTAAAGTTGAATCTAATTGTTTTTGTGTAAACACAAATGCAAATTTTAGTTGTGGTAGCCAAAACACATAGTAGCAGAGGCAGCAGCCTGAAAGCATTACTAGCACATCAAGGCCATATAAAACACAATTACAGATCCCAATTATAATTACGTCTAAGCCAATTCAAGTGACATAGCTCTTTCACATCAACTTGAACCTAACCTCATCAATTGACACCAAACCACATCACCAACCAAAACAGTAGAAAAAAGGAGCACTGTATCACCGCACATAACCAAATCGTAGTCAGCCGCAGACCATGTTTCTATTCTCGATGCCCGGCTAAAAACCTGAATTCCCTCTGAAGTTTGAGAAGAGTTGAAATCAATTTCGTGCACTACAACTTGAATCCAATTCGCGAATAATTCTGAATTTACCCTCTCTTCACACATAAAGTGTTTCATGACTGTAGTCGAATTGATGAGAAAAGAGTTATTGTTCTATTCATACAATGAGGTCCAGATTGATCAGGTTGACTCAAGTTCCACGTTATCCTAAGCTCTGGTTTGTTTTAAATAATTGGGCTCATATTTGACACATAGAGAAACATTCGCGAAACATTCGCGACTCAAGTTGCGAACAGAATATTTGGCTCTTGAATGTTCTGTTTGAGATGTTTCAGTATAAAAAGGCTAGTTAAGTTCCTTGATAGTGTACTAATAATGTTTACAGCGACTAGTAACCACTCAAAGACATCTTTATACTAAAACTTCACATCAACTAGTCCAAATGAAATTCTTACAAAGCTTTTTAGTGGCTGCAGTGGCATTCACCTCTTTAGTTAATGCAATTCATATAGTTAAACCCAGAGAGGATTATAAAGCTTTTCTAAACGAAGTGTTCAGGGCAAAGAATGCGTCTATTGTCAAGTATGTGAATGATAAAGATGATCATTACCAAGCCTTCGACTCGAATTTTTATGATGCTCTACACCAAATTTTTGGTGATGAACATGGTGTTCAATTTGTGGAAGTTGAGTGTAATGAAAACCCACAAACTTGTGAGAACCATCATGTTGAAGAGACTCCAAGCTTGAGGTTTTTCAAAAAATGTGGTGATATCCATGTTGGTCATATTTTAAGTCATGATGTATCGTATCAAGCCAGAACAAAAGATCTTTCAGAGAGAATTTATGAGTTTATTGAAAACGCTGATAAGCATTGCTTGGAAGTTTTTAGATATAGAAACAACTTTGGTAGACAATGGAGCTCACAATAGGTTCATCTAGGTTAAATCTGCGTTGATCTTGATTGATTTGATTATTCATTAAATCAAGCCGGTATTGATGACAGTGTTTAATGAGGAATAAACCGTTAATTTATGATTCCTGTAGACTAGCAGCACATAAATAATCATAACTTGCAACTTTCTGATCAACTTTTAATTGAATTCCAAATATTGAATAAAACAATAAAATCATAACCGTCTGGCAAAATCTGCGGGTAAATAAAATTTTTAGGCGCGAATTTGTTCTTTGAAAATTATCGAAGAAAGAAAAGCTCATAATCAAAAATTTCAACAAAGATCAACGATAACTTGATCAGAAAGAACTTTTGATTGAAACCAACTTTTGGTGGGCACAATTCCATTCAGCTAGCTGTCCAGAGACCCTTACACGAACAGCTTCACAATACTCTTCGATATCAAACACCCAAACAGGGGCAAAAAAAAACAGAAAGTATTAAACTAGGTGGATTCAATACAGAGTGTACAAACAACCAACCATTGAAAAGGGTCTTTACTCCCATATACAACACAGATTAATCACATACACACATTCGCACTCTGAAAAACCATGTCACATCCTCAACTTATAGAGAAAAACGGACTACGAATCCTTTGTATTGCTGAGATTCGAGGAAATTTATCATTATTAAATACATTAGCTGATGAATATAATGCTTCAATTATTATACATACAGGAAGTTTTGGGTTTTTCGATAATGATTCAATCTCCAAGATCCATGAAAGTTATCTTAGACATATCATTGCATTTTGTCCTTTATTAGATGAAGAAATTGTTAATAAAGTTTCTGAATTATCCAAAATTGATATAAACAATAACAACAATAATGAAGATTATCAAGACTATGATGAATTAGATTTAAAAAAATTATTACAAAATGTAAAGATTTCTGAATTGATGGATTTTATTAATGGTGTTAAAAAATTGAAAATCCCAGTTTATACAATTTATGGAATGGTTGAAGACTCTACAGTTATTGATAAATTTAAAATGGGCATCTATTCAATACCAAACTTGTTTATATTGGATGAAATTTCCACCTTCAGGATCAAATCTCCAATAGATGATACAACTATACAATTATGTGGTATTGGTGGTTCATTATCTTATCAGAAATTATTTCATCATGGTACTTTTGATAATGAATTGAATTATAATTATCAACAATTTAAAAACTCAATAAGTGAGACTTTTTTACCCGTGGCAGGTGATCCTGGTAATATATGGATAACAATGGTTCAAATTGGTCAATTTATCAAGACAATGGAGGAGAATTATTCACCAAAAGATGTTCGTATTATGATTACACATTCTTCACCAAGTCGTGAAGGTTTATTAGGTCATTTAGCTGTGATTACCAAAATGGATTATACCATTTCCAACGGATTACATTTCCTGTATCCTTCAAGTTTTAATGAATTGAGTATATGTCCAAATTTTGAATTTTATAAATCAAAATTCAGTGAGGCAAGACATCAATTGAGTTCTATATGGATTAATGTTTCCAAAACTGTGGAACAAATCATTTCTACAAATGAACATTTAACTGATTTATTAAATATTGCATTATCAACATTTGACAAAATCCCTGTGATTTCAACATCATCAGGGTCTAATAAAAATGAAGAAATTATCCCAATTGCATTATCAAGTTTCAAAAGAGATATCAATTCAAATATAATACGTTCACAAAATGATGCATATTATGTTGCTTTCCAGAATATTTGGCATTTCAATCTTTGTGATGTCTCTATTGGTTCTGTATTACTAGATGTTGTTGATGGGAATTTCCAATTTCAAGCAAATTCAAAAGGTTTTAATTTTAAGTATAGAGGTAATATGGAGAAGAATGGTGGTGGTAGTGGTGTGGTAAGTAATGGGAAACCTTCAAGAGGTGGTGGTAATTCAAATAATAGAGGAGGTCGTGGTCGTGGGAGAGGTGGGTTTAAAAGATTTTAAGGAAGGAGAATTATATTTTAATATTTGTAATAATACGTTGAAAAAGTACATTGGAAATCTTCAAAATTGTAGATTTCACTCAAATATCTTTTCAAATAATAAATAATGTATAATTTTCAGACCTCAAGAGTCCTTATAAATAATAAATAATGTATAATTTTCAGACCTCAAGAGTCCTTATAAATAATAAATAAATAGAATAAATAATCATGAGCCCAACAGCTAGCTTGTTTAAACACATTTAAGCACCCTTCACCATAACTTAATGCTCCCATGGGTGTTTCAATCCCTTTAAGAACAGTTAGTACCCTCTCTCATCTCAATTCAAAAGACTTTTCAACTCACAAATATAACTTGACCATCTTCTCTTAATCTATAACAAATCCAAAAAGACATGAAACCTCCAATAGCTTTACTCACAAAGACATGTATGGCCTTTGGGTTTGGAGGAGCAACTGGTTGGTTTCTCACATATCTTGCAGCATGATGATTGAGTCTGAGTAATGATTGTCTCATGATGTGTATATTTGATTGATGTTGTGTAAATTGTTGATGTTGTTGAAGTTCAGGAGCTTTTTTTTTCGGTTTCTGCAAAACTCCAGCTTTAGTTGTTCGCGAATATTACGTAATCTATATAGGCCAATTAAAAATTTGACACAATTGAATTTGAGCCGAATTTAAATGAAATTTGAGGTGGTTTTAGTTTGTGAATAGGTTAATAAATTACTAAATTGCTATTAGTGTTTTAATTTTGTGAAATTGGTCCGCGTTTTATGAAGCTTTAATTGCTGTCCATCATGACTTGATCAGCAAGTTAATCCTCCATGAGTGCTCGATACGACTAGATCTCCTTGAAGATAAAGATATAGAGGAAACATCATGGACTAATCTGGATGCCTATACTTCTCCTTTTGGCTTATGTTGATGATATTGTGGCTTGCAACATCAATATGGGAAAAATGGGATGAGTAGAAAATCAATCAAAGCTAATGGAAAGTTGAAACTTATGCACCAGTTTAACCATAAACCAATCTTATCGGACTGAATTTGAGTTGTACTTTTGTAAAAGGCTGGACGGTTGATATGAATTATAACTTCAGCATAAGCTCAAGACATCTTTAATGCCCATCACCATCAAGGATAATCTTTTTCTGCACACTAAATAATTGGTAAAGATAGATCTACAAGGACTAAACTCAAATTGGGAAAACGTACAACTCTTTCTAGGCAAGAAAAGTTGTATACACTTGAGCTCATCAGACAACAAAGAAGTTGTGTTCACCATTCTGCTTGTTTGAAGTGCATGTGTCATGGTCTTTTAAGGCCAATATCAACGAGTGCTGTAACTTCTGAGAACTCATAAACTATTTCAATTTAAAATCTCTCTATACAAAAGGTAATAGTCAGGCTGGATAACTCTTCCATTCCTTAACTTTCTATCACGAGGACTATCCTCACTCAATTGATAGCCCAGTTTAAAGTACCAATTGAGAACATCATTAGCACTAAACACAGTCAATTTTGTTCCTTTTAAAACCTGACCTCTTTCTTGAACGTATCCATCAATTTGCTCACCATCTCTCTTTGGCAACTGTTTAGCCAATTCATGAAACCCATTAATCAACACCCTTCCAACACCTTCACCTTGATGATCAGGATGAATATGGATTTCATATAAGTACAAGACGCGACCTTCATGATCTAAAGTGTCCACAAATGATATGAACCCAACGATGGAAAGGTTTCCAGAATCAGCTTCAGTGACATTAGACCTTACGTGGTATGAGACATAGATGAGGCCTTTCTCTTGCATTTCTTGTAGTTTTGCCGATGCCCAATCATTCCCGTTGATTTCTATATAGAAATGTGATAAATTTTGTGAAATTAATGGTAGATAATTCGAATCTAGTTCAGTTGATGAAGGATTTATCTTGCAATTCAATTGATATTTCCCATTATTGATCAAAGTTGGGAACACCGTGGGTATAAGCTGCTCTATATCTCTTGGATTGAAGTTCATGATAGCTTGGGAATGTTGAACTCTTTATAAAAGTTGATGGAATGTAAACAAAAGATGGAAATTTCACGCACACTAAAAAAATGTACCTGGTTGCTTAGTCAGGGTTCAGGTAATAGACAGCGTAGAAACACTTCAAATTCAAATACTTTTGTTCAAAAAATGCTCTTATTTCTATCTATTTGATCAGGTTATATTTGGATTCTGTATCTGCTCTTATCTGAATGATAGTTTACTCATTTATGACTTGTTTCTACGCTTTGGTGAAGAAAGGAAAACACGAAAGTGCTGGTGGAATCTGAAAATCCTTGCCCATGAAGATCCATCAGAATACTTTTGGCTATAACAAAGTGCACAGATGACAGCATCAACGAGCTCTGGAAAGAGTAGAGGATGGAAACGGTTCATTTTCGGTTTGATTTTGGCCAAAATTCGTGTTCCGAAGCGAGAATTGGCAAACCGAGAGTATACTAATGGAAAAGCGAGTTTCAAGGAATAAAGGCCCAATAACCTATCAGTAGTGTTCTTTAGAGCCTTTTTTATCGATCCCAAGTAGTTCTGGAATGATTCCTCTTTTTGTTGCGAGAGAATAAATGTTTTTCCATTCATGTTGCATTGGATATGGCGTTTAATAGGGGAAAATATTAAGGCTTGATTGAAGCATTTTTATAAAGCAAAAACATAATTTTAATACATCTACAGTGGTAATTGACTCTTTGAAACAATATTCAAAGTATATCAGACATCTGATTGTGTTTATTTATATTACTTTCTATACGTATAAAACTCCAGACTTTATAGTGGAAGAAAGTAGTGTCCTATTCCAAAATCTCCATAGTTCAGGGATTACCCTACTCACGGTTTTGGCGTACTCGGTTTTCAGAGACGACAAAATTAGGCCTATTCGAGAGCGAAAATATTCACGTATTAAATCCGTTTCCATCCTCTAGGAAAGAGTCAAGGCTTTTGAAGAGTCAAGACACCGTTGTTTTTCCAGTATGTTTTTACTCAAGAAAAGTGTTCATCATGTCAAGATTGAACTAAAAAAGATGATCGCCCTTCGAAGAAATCTGAGTGGATCATCATTCAGCGATAAACTAGGGTTGTGTAGACCAAGATATCATCATCTTCACGATACTCATAATTGTAATCGTAATTGTGGATATAGGTGGTGAGAGAAAGAGATAGCTATTAAACTTCAATTATCCATGTCTATGTCATGATGCTGGTTATTGGTGGATCTGGATTTAGGCTTTCTTTGGACTTGTTGTTCAATTAGGCTGTGCTCATGTCCAGTTCCCAGTAAGCGGTACCTGAGTAGGATTGACACCGGCGTCCCTGAAGAAGAGTAGGCAAGGGGCTTAACAGCCTGGACAGAGATAGAGGTGGTGGTCCTAGGTGGTATAGGATTCATAGGTGGTGATGGAAACACAGGTTGTTGTTGTATGGCAGTTGTTCTTTTAATCTTGTTCATCTTGTATATCCATGTTCTCCAATTAGCAATCGGCCTGTACTGTTATGCCTACCCTTAGAGACAACTATTGGGGACAGGATACCAGATCACATACATAGGCGAGAGCAAGAGCCAATAAGAACTTGCTATACAACAATCTTGTAAAGAGTCTCTCAATTCTCTACGTGGTATAACTTTTTTTCCTCCATCAAAAAAGTAAATTCATATTACTTTTGCTAGATCCATGAAACTTGAAATCAAATCAACATGGAGCTGGAGGGCCCATACAAATTGATTTACAGGGGGATTTTTATTGATAGCGCTGCCAACGTCAAAAGCTCTTCAACTTTTAGCACTTATGACGTGGAATATCTAATCTTGTAGCAAGATCCACACACTAAACAACACACTATAAAGCCCTTGATCAAGTTCCAATGGGTATACTTCTCATCATGATTAATCCAGATCTAGCAAAGATCCAAACTGAATCCGGACTAGCACGTCCTTTAACTGGAAAAACAACAAAAAAAAAAACTCAACGCTGCCCCTGTGCGTCACCTTCCGCTTTTGGACGACGGGTACCTCATGCGAATAGCTGCACCTGGATGGGCCCAACTGCACACAAACCTTAAAATGCTCCGGTACGCGCAGCACTGACAGCACTTGAGAAGTTTATAAAAAAGTCAAAAGTTGAAATATATCAAGAACGAGATATCCATCATCAACACCATCAACAACCAGTACACTCTTTTTGTATATACCCTCCAAGTGCTTCTTTTTATTTTGCTGCCATAGCTGCTATCCCATCTCAAATGTCCATAATGATATCTCCTCGCTCTCAGGAAAACCAGTACCATTACCAACAACAAAATCCTCCTCCTCATCCTTCAGCGGTTAATGGTCAACAACAACAACAACAACCAGGTGCCTATCCAATCTATTCAAACATTGCTCAGTTCCCTGCTCAACCTCAAGCTGGTGCTTTCAACTTGGCCTACAACAATAACTACACAACTACAAATCCATTACCTCCAAGTAACAATAGTTCATTCTCATTGCCTTCTGTCCCACAAGCTGTCTATTATGAACAAGTGCCACCTTTACAACAACAAGCTCCACCTCCTCCACAACAACAACCTCAACAACAAGGCCATCCTGAAAATGGTGTTACTGGTGGTGCTCCAGTTTATTACTATCAACAACAATTTTTCACCCAACCAAATCCAACAAGCGCAAATGATCAATTTGGTGGATACCCACAATTTGGGTTTCATGATCAATCATCTTCTGGTGCTTTAAATACAATACATTCAATCCCTCCACCACATCAACCTCAACTACAAGTTGCTACTGCTTCTACAACTTCATTACCTCAACCAAGTTCAACAGCTGCTACAGGTTCAACAAATACCCCATCAAATACAATACAACAACAACAATCAGGTGTATCATCATCATCTGAAGAAATGCCATTCCCAGGAGTCTTGGATACAAGTTCCAATAATGGCAATACAACATATCATCCAAGATCAGCAACTTATCCTGTTGATCATAAACCAGCAAAACAACATTCACGTCAATCATTAGCTAATTCATCAACATCTTCATCAACATTATTAGGAATGACTCCAGAAACTGCGAGAAGAAATCGTTGTACAATTTGTCAAAAACAATTCAAGAGACCATCTTCATTACAAACTCATTTATATTCACATACTGGTGAAAAACCATTTGCTTGTACTTGGGATAATTGTGGTCGTTTATTTTCAGTGAGGTCAAATATGATTAGACATCGTAAATTACATGAACGTGATGCTAAATTGAAAGGAAGTTTAGATGCTAGTGTTGATGGTTTAAAAGAGGAATCTGAAGAATCTGATAATGTTCATGTTAATAATAACAAGTCTATTTTACCACCACCAACTGCTGTTATTAATGGTAATGGTAATAATGGTGGATTTAATGGAACTTCATTACCAAATTTATTACATCCTGCTGGAAATGGGAATGGTAATGGAGAATTCCAATTAGGTTATTTCAATTGATTCTTATTTATAATGACGTTAATTTGTTCGTTTTTTTTTGTTTTGAATGTTATTTGTTTTTTTTATATTCATTCATCATGACCTTCATGTTTTTAATGCTTGTGTTTGGGGTTTTTTGTCAAATCATCATCATTTGATTACCAGTTCTTTCATTTTTCGTTTTGTTTATAATGGGGGTTTAATTATTTGTCGTTTTAAGAATTAAAAAGGTGCCTTTAATTTTGATCACTCCTTTTTTTTGAGAAGAATAAATTGGTTCATGTATCCTTTTTTTTATAGAAATTCTACTTCAATTCGGGTTATAGGATTCACTTTGTGAATTTGTTATATATATATACTTTTTCAACTTTGTATTAATAGTTTTATGAATAATAGTTAATTCAGATATATCATGTTTGTAGGACCTTTGTGCCTTGGGTACCTCAAATACTTTTTCTATTGTGTATGGGCTTTCAAAAAAGATCCATATGTAGGCGAGAAATTTTTGTTCCTGGGATTTAAAAAGGGATTTGAGCTCCAAAGATTTTTAAACCTAAAGCTGATCACTATTATTAACAAAAAGCTCGACTATAATAATAAGGTGATTGAACTACATGTCTACATAGGACTTTGTATTGTTTAGTTACTTATTGTTCAACAGTACTCTGAACTTGACTCATTAAAAATAATATTCAGGGGAAATATCGAGAGAGCATAATTTACATTCATGTAGACCCACCAAAACAGAATGAATAAGAATGCGAATTGTTCAAGAATTCCAGAATCACATGAATGAACAATACTTCACAATTCACAAAATCACAGCCTTGATTTCATGTAAAAAGTTATATGTTGTTCATTTTTTTCCCAACCTATAAGATTTTTTTTTTGAAGTGAATTTAAACCATACGTAATTTTATGCAAGGTGCTGTTTAACAAGACGCATAAGGCTTTTTTTAAAGTTTGGCTTGCTGACTCAGTTACTTGTGCAACGCAACTAGATGCATGGTCCCCTTTTGGGTAAACCTAGTTGGGCAAGCTTGGTGAAGGGCAAAAAAGCACAAGAGAGAAAGAGTCCTTCAACTGTTGAAGGATTAGTTTTGTGATGATGGTGTGACAAGTGGTGTGTTTTAGTTGATACGTTTTAATGGGATTGTCTATCCAGGTACCGTACATGTGCTTGTTGTTATGCTTATTTAGAACTCCTTACATCTTTGTATAGCCCAGCAGTACGAAGATTGAAATTTGAACTTGGAAGACCTATGTCGGTCCATGATTCATGATTCATGGAAGTTTTGAACAAATTTGGAGAAAAATCCGGTGGAGTTATGTAAATGTGTGGAAAATAGTGAACTACCTACAACGAAAAGATTCCACCTGTCAATTAACTTCGGTGTCAGGTGTCAGTTGGTTTGATTGAATTTCAGTTGACTACAATTCTTTCCTAAATCTGGAGATTACCGAGAGAGATTTCATGTTAAATTAGCTGTAACTTGTATCCCTCAGTCTTCAGATCGATCATTAAATGAAGTTAAAAGTGAACCCTTGATCTTGTATGTGAATCACCGTTGACTTTGATAAGCCAATTGGCAGAGTGAATCTCTTTTGTTTGTAGGGCTTTTTTTAGATGTTGTAGTAAATCACATACATTTGTATAACCAATGGATGTATATCGGCAAAACCAGTGAACGTCTACAAAGAAGCACAACTAATTATGGAATTGATAGTGCTTTATAAGTTCATCAAAGAGTTGAAAGAACCAGGTGATATCTCTATACTCTCAAGATCTCTTTCATATTGTTCCATCAACGCTCATCAGTCTCATTTTCTTAATCTCGGTAAAATCTCTTGATGATGATTTGCTAAGGCTGAATGAAAAAAAGAAGATTTGATCAGCTAGAAGAGTATTCTTTGACGGAATATCAAGCACAATGGATAATTATTTATTATTTAATTAAGGCTTATGGTGATTAATTGTGTCAAAACTATAACATGCTCAATGACAAGATCCTGGGACTATAACATTTAACGTTGAGATTCCTGTGCTTTAACCTTAAGATGGTTGGAGTTACACATCTCCAACTTCCTATCCGTTTCAATTTGATTGCAAAGCAGCACTAGGAGCTTGAGACGTCTAGGGATCCAGGAATAGATGAGCTGAAGATTAAAAGATTCAACCACTTGAATAATAGATCTCAAGCAGAAGTCAGAAGATCAGGGTTCATCAACACTAAGTGGATACTTGTTTCAAGATTCGAACATTGAGGGTTCTCTTTAATTAAATCAATACTCGCTTGAACCGAAAAGAACTTGGTACCATTTCATTAACATAACCAAGACAACACCATACTTAAACTAACTGAAGGCTTTTTTCGACTTCTCCACTGCAATTTAATCCCTGATCTCAAAGTTGCTAGACGTCGTGCTTCCGAGTTTAAAATTCGCGAATTATATACATCTATGTGTCAAGCTCCAAAGTGAAGAACATTAATAAAATACCTTTGCTAGTTTAGATCTTGACAAATCATGCGAAATTAAAATTTCAATCTTTATAAGTGGCTGACTATGTATCGCTATGCCAGGTTACATGATCACTTTGAGGTATCGTTTGACTTCGGCTGATAAATGAAATCTACAAAACAGCTTCATCCTGAATACATTCAACCACTGAAATCAAAAGATGGTTTGATTTTTGATAATAAGCAGTGATGTTAAATGAAGACAGAAACAATATTTAGACACATATATCATTATATTATAATTTAAAGCATGTATTACTTTAATTTTGATTTCATTACTAGGAATGAGAACCAACTAGTTAATATATCATGTAACAGATCACACGCAAATTGTCTTGTGCTTCTGGGTTAGCACGTCTGCCAGATATACAAATCTCATCGTGTACAATTTAAGGGTTTAAATCATGGTGTTATCACAATACTTTGGATTTAACAGGTACTTAGGGCTTGCCTGGCGGTTCAAAATGGTTTGAAGCCCCGTCTTCTGAAAACAAAAGTGAAAAAAAAAATCACTTTGAGGATGAAGTTTGAACCCATAGCACTTAGCCATTTTGAGTCAAAGCTAGTGGTTATTGTTTGTTATTTGCTAGTTTTATGTCATGAATTATTGGGAGTAACTAAAATATTCACTGGTTTTTTGATTGGTTGGTATAGGTTTCCGTCATTTGTGTTCACTGCCATTTATGTTGATTACGTTGTTCAACTGGAGAGCATCTATTTTAAAATTTAGATAGGTCTTTTCAGATCTCATTGTATATGTTGTCCCATCCGCTTTTGTGTTTGCCGCGCGTTTGTTGTGAACATTTACAACTGTTTCAACGAGTGTTAAATATGTGATAATTGATCATTTTTCAGTAACAAGACGTATCCTGATCAATACATTTTCAGGAATTGAAGAGTTCCAGAAATGATTAGTTTCAAAATATATGATGGATCCAAACTTCTCAATCGATATTCAGTTGAAACAATACCTGAATTCAATGAGTAAAGTGATGACCAGTTCAATTTCCCTTATTAAATTAGTTACAATTGTAGAGATCAGTATCGTTAATACATTTGAAAGTAGTAAAGAACATGCATAATACGGTCTGGCAAATTAAAACGGAGACAAACATGACAAGTAAGAGAAGTTTCATCAAATTAATCAATTGGTTCAATTCTCAATGAGTTTCTATAATTCATCTTTCAATTAATTTGTGATTGGCTCAGAATTGCACCTGGCACTGTGTCAATTACCAGCAAATGCTTTATTCAATGTAATTGACTTAGCGCACTATAAGTACAATTCTTCAGTCTTTAACTTGTAGACCTTAAAAATAACAAATAAAAGTAAAAGGTTGGTTAAAAATTAAACAAAAACGTATTGAACCTCAAACCAACACCTAAAACTTTCACATTATTTTTTGTAAAACGCATTCGCGGTTTCAACATTAAAATATGTATCGGGATGATCACTAGTAATTCCAAGTACTAAACAATTCCTTCTCAGTTGTGGAATATTTTTGTTGAGTAGTTCTGAATTTGAAAGGAAAATACGTTTGCCATTTGGAAGGATGTCATTTAACAATTCAAGAAAGAGTGATCGATCATTGCTCGTGGTGGACGTTTAACGCAATCTTTGCTTTTAAACTAGCTGACATTTGTTGATGATTTGTGATGTATGTCAAAATGAATTAATGACACCAAGAGAGCTCCAAGCCAATTAAATGATTATTAAATATTAATTGTACTTATGATCAGAATTTATTAATTGGTTTAATTTGAGTTCAGTGGGTGGTATTATGTGGATGTTGAATGAAAGTACATACATCCCTAATATAACACTGTTTGAATACACAACTGAATATGAACTATTTTAACTGAATCATGGATATTTGTAGCTACTACCAGCCTATAATAAAGGTTAGAGGCACTGATGAGAAGCCATCACATTTGAAAAATTTGAATTGAATTGAGGCTCTTCTTTACTTCAGCTTCTAGTCGTATGCCAGGTCGAGAAGACTTTCGTCTAATCGTAAACGTTCTAACCTAGAAACTCAAACAATTTGATGGTCCTACAGAATTCATAGGATTGATATCTCGTGAATAGTTATTCCGCTTTTATAGGAATGGTTTGCACTCAGTTCGTTACTTTTGAATGTTATACAATCGTGATGGTCAGCCAATGGATCCCCTGGTCAATGAGGCCAATTCTGTGATTAGTTAGCTGTTCTTTAATAAACAGCACACTTCGACCTGTTCCTTTCCCAGTGATATTCAGTTGAAACAATACTAGGATTCATTGGAAAGAGCCAACGGTCTGTTCAATTTCCCATAGTTTAATTAGCCAATTGTAGTTTTCCTAGGCAGGTCTCCTTCTAGAACTCCCGCCTAAACTCTAGGCAGAGGCCAGGCAGAAGCTAGGCAGAACGTCCTCCCAGCTGCCAAACGCACCGGGTAACCTCATCGCAAAAAATTCGCGAATTTCCTCCTAAAAAAATTTTTTTTTCTTGTAAAAAAGAAAATAAAGATAAAAAAAAAATTTATATACTCTTTTTGATCTTTTGATACTCTAAACCTTTCCAGGATACTCAAGTTTACTGTTGGTTTCTCAGTCTTATTCTTCACATCCCCAAGTCTCCTCCCCTCAAGATGCAACTTACCTGGAAAGATATCCCAACTGTCCCTGAGGCTAATGACCTTTTGGATATTGTTCTAAATAGAACTCAAAGAAAAACTCCAACTGTTATTAGACCTGGTTTCAAAATCACTCGTATTAGAGCTTTCTATATGAGAAAAGTTAAATTTACTGCTGAAGGTTTTGATGAAAAATTCCAAGATTTAATCAGTGGATTCCCAAAAATTGATGATGTTCATCCTTTCCATAGAGATTTAATGGATACTTTATATGAAAAAAATCATTATAAAGTTTCTTTAGCTGCCGTTTCAAGATCTAAAACTTTAATTGAACAAGTTGCAAGAGATTATATCAGATTGTTAAAATTTGGTCAATCTTTATTCCAATGTAAACAATTGAAAAGAGCTGCTTTAGGTAGAATGGCTACAATTGTTAAAAAATTAAAAGATCCTTTAACTTATTTAGAACAAGTTCGTCAACATTTAGGTCGTTTACCTTCAATTGATCCAAACACAAGAACTTTATTGATCTGTGGTTATCCAAATGTTGGTAAATCTTCATTTTTACGTTGTATTACAAAAGCTGATGTGGAAGTTCAACCTTATGCATTCACAACAAAATCTTTATACGTTGGTCATTTTGATTATAAATATTTAAGATTCCAAGCTATTGATACTCCAGGTATCTTGGATAGACCAACTGAAGAAATGAATAACATTGAAATGCAATCTATTTATGCTATTGCTCATTTAAGATCAACTGTTTTATATTTCATGGATATTTCAGAACAATGTGGGTTTTCAATTGAAGCTCAAGTCAAATTATTCCATTCAATCAAACCATTATTTGCAAATAAATCAGTCTTGGTTGTTATAAATAAAACTGATATCATTAGACCTGAAGATTTAGATCAAGAACGTCAAGATTTGATTCAAACTTTAACCCAAGTCCCAGGTGTGGAAATCATGACAACTTCATGTCATGAAGAAGATAATGTTTTCCAAGTTAGAAACAAGGCTTGTGAAAAATTATTAACTTCAAGAATTGAACAAAAATTAAAAGGTACTGCTCGTGTTAATAACGTTTTAAATAAAATCCATGTTTCAAGACCAACTCCAAGAGATGAATTGAAAAGAGATGCTTTTATTCCAGAAGGTGTTGCTAAATTAACTAAATATGATATTGAAGATCCAAATAGACGTGTTTTACATCGTGATATTGAAGCTGAAAATGGTGGTGCAGGTGTTTATAACATTAATTTAAAAGATGCTTATTTATTAGAGGATGAAGAATGGAAAAATGACAAGATGCCTGAAATTTTGGATGGTAAAAATGTTTATGATTTCTTGGATGCTGATATTGCAGCAAAATTACAAGCTTTAGAAGAAGAGGAGGAAAAATTAGAAAATGAAGGATTTTATGATAGTGATTCTGAAATTGAAGATGAAGAAGTTGAAGATATTCAAGAAAAAGCTCAATGGATTAGAGATAAACAACAAAAAATGATAAATGCTGCTAGAAATAGAAAAGCTTTGAAAAATGGTGGTACTATGCCTCGTTCTAAATTGACCAAGAATTATTCAGAATTAGAAGAACATTTACAATCTTTGGGTCATGATACTTCAATTCTTAACTCTAAAAAGAATAAAAAATTGGGTGATCGTTCATATCAAGAAACTGGTGCTGAAGTTTTACAACAAGAATTCCAAGATTTTGCTGATTATAAAAAACAACCAGCTTATAAATCTGATCGTTTGAATGATGGTGTTAGTGATGGTGCTCTTAGATCCAAAGCTGATAGATTGGCCAAGATCCAAAGAAGAGAACGTAATAGACAAGCTAGACAAGGTGAAGCTGATCGTCATGCTACTGCCTCTTTACCAAAACATTTATTCTCTGGTAAACGTGGTGTTGGTAAGACTGATCGTCGTTAAGGTTGGTTATTTCATTTCATATTTGCTTTTTCATTTTTATTACTTTATTGTTATTATGATCATTTAGGTGGGAAATTTTCGTCATTTATATTGTACATTATCATGATTGTTTTTTAGATTTAACTTTAATTATAACAAAACTTTCGAAACATTTATTTCCTTTTTAAACCCTGTAAACATCTAAATACACACATTTTTGTTAACCATATATCAAATAATCATATAAAAATAACCATACTAGTATAAAAAAGTATTAGAATAAAAAGCTGTATACTTTTCCACCCTTTAATCCGACTTACTCCATGTAAAACAATCAATCTGTACATGGCCCAATCACCCATTTATCCAATCCTCCTCTAATTTGAATTGCATCTCCATATCCTCTTCGCCATTCCCACTTGCACTCACAGAGTTCTTATTAAACTGAGGTCTAACACCATTAGAACCAGGTCTTGAACCACGTCTTTTCAATTCCTGAGGGGTCAGCAAATCACTTAGACTTGAAGGAACAAAATCTTCTTCAAATAATTCATCCTCGACTGAATTTTCATCATCTCCATTATCATCGTCATCGTCATCATCGATGATTGCACTTTCATTGATAGTCTCTGTAAATATAGGTCTAGTGATGGTGTTGGAAGTGGAAAGGGATCTATAACGTGGATCTGTACTCCATATAGATGTGGATGTGAATGGAGATGTCGCCATATTTGACTTGAGAGGTGATGTGCTTGAAAAAGCTCTTGGATGATGATGTGGTGTACTGTCAAATGTATTGCTCATTGGATTGAAAGACGAGGAGCTGGATTGGATATTGGAATGGATAGGTGATATCATTTTAGGAGTTGGAATAGAGCCTGATGGTATTGAAGTTTGTGATGGGTAGTAATTCATGTTCAGATTACTATTTAATCCAGAGTGTATGCTATTATTGCCATTGTGGCCATTAGCACCATTCAAATGATGATTACCTGAACCACCAGCATTTTGTTGCTGTTGTTGTTGACTTTGATACACTTGTGCTAAACTCTTTGGATTAACTCTTCTACCATCTGGTAATATATGAGCTAAAGCACACTTCAACCCAAATTTGCAATTTCCCTTTTGGAAATACTTGCAAGGAGCTGTATCCACAGTTGAATCCATTGTATGGGAAAAGGGACATGAAGAACCAGCTTGACAAGCACCTTGTTTGAAGAATTTACAAGGAACATGTGCAAGATCTTATAAGCTAAAGTTAGTTCAAGACCCCTAAATAAAACACTTATTAATACTCACTTTTGGAAGGTGGACTTTTTGACACTTCTACACCTGTCAAAGTGTTATTATTGGTATTATTCTTTGGTGTTGAGCCGTTCCCATTGCTAAAAGAAGACGAGTACGATCGGTTTAGGTGACTTGGATGGCCATAGCCCTCATGTTGTGGAACCTGGGTACTCATAATTTTATGGGGATTTGTATGTTGATGTTATCCTTATCTAAGGGCTTTTTCCCTATTGGTACCTCTCTTGACAGTTGTTTGAAAAGTTGAAAATGAATAGTTTGCTGCCTGTAGAATTGATGGTTAATAGCTCTCAATAGCTCTGTTCTGCCTTATCCAGTCCAGTTCAGTGAGATTAGAGCTCGTGTGAAGTGCCTAATGAGTAATAATGAGCTTCTTTATAAGCCAAACCAGCTTAAAAAAGCGTTATCAGATTTCGCGATTGGTTACATAAGCACGATAACAGAAAGGGAAGAGAGGGTAAATACATGATAAATTGAATTAGTTAGTAAAATGAAATAAATTGAAAGAGTAAGTATATATTTGATTGTCTAAGCTTCATTGTAATGGTAAACCAAGTAGTTTGGTAACCCAAACACCTGGTATCCCAATCTCTTTGCCATTTTGGCAAAACCTTCAGTTTCAATCAAATGATAGAATGGGAATGGAGGAAACATGGCACCATCTCTATGAACATCAGCTTTAACCAAAACAGCTGCACCTCCAACACCATCCAATTCCATCTCAGTGTTGACATCTCCATTAGGATCATAGAAATGTGCCATCAATGGTCTATATGTAGCAATTTCAGCATAACCTTCCACAATAATTTCATCTTCAGCCATATTTTCAGCAATTTTTAAACCTTCTTCAGATTCAACCCAATTGTTATAATCATAAGGTCTGATAGAATCTTGCTTCTTCTCTTCATCAAAATAACGTTGGTAACAATTAGCACTAATCACAGGTTTATCATGAGAAACCATATCTTGAATCAATGTTGATGGAGTTTCAACAATATCTGAATCTAACCACAAGACCCAACTTGTATATGGACCTAAAGCACTGAAAACTAATGAATTTCTAGCTAATGCCATTGAAGCTCTTCTATCTTTTTGAACTTTCAAAGCATGTCTATGCTTTTCAACTTGATTATCTAATGATTCAGTATCTTGTCTTAAAATAGTAATTTTACTAAAACGATTCTCCTTTTTACCAGTTTGAATTTGTTTAATAGCTTTTTCTAATTTCTTCAAAGCTAAATCACCATCTTTATTTCTTGGAACAATAAATCCCAATTCTAATAATTCTCTTGGATAAGTTAATCTTAATAAATTTTGCCAATATTCATTGAAAAATCTTGAAACTGGAGTTAAAATTAAAACTTTTTCTTTATTATAAACAGCCATAGGTGTGGATGCCAATTTGTTCAAATCATAATGAGCAATATGATCACCTGGTAAATTTCTTGGAATAACATCATGTTGTCTACTGAAAAATCCATTTTTTTTAGTCTTGTAACTATATTTTGATGGTGCTTTACTTGATGTGAAGAATAGATAATAGAAAAGAGCCAACACGGCCAATGGACCCAGCACACTCAAAGGTCTTCTTCGTATCTGACGCAAGAAGGGACTTCTATTGATGGCAGCCTTCATATTTGATTGGTTTTTTATATCTCTCCTTATAATGTGAATATGCAAAAAATGATGAGAATGGATCAATAATCAATGGAATCAAACACCAGTCAGCAGAAAACAAACACCAAATGCAATCCAGCCAAAAACTCAACACAAACTAGACTTTTAATGGTCAAGCTAATTCTTCTTGATGTTGTTTACACTTTTTGACGTGTTTGTTTTTTTGATTTGTTGTCTTAAAATTTCAATCGTTGAGTATATTTTTTTTAACGTTCCTGTTCCAAAAAAAAACATAGGAAATTTACCCGGAAAATAACGTGTATAAAGTTCCAAATAATTGTATTATTTTGGTGATTTTGAAGATAATGAAGGTTAAAATAGAGAGTGTGGACTGGGTTATTGAATAGAAAGAGTAAAAGCTTATAAAATTTTGCTTTTTGTGGTGGTTTTACGGTTAAATTTGAGTGAGATGTCGAGTTTTCCATCATGATATTGGAATCTCAATTCCATTAATCGAATTTGTATGGATTGATTATGATTCAAATGAGAATAAAATGTTACTGAATTGTATTGAGCTGAGTAATTTATGTCAGTTGCTTCTACTCATCTTGTTTAAATCAGAATCTCATAATAAATTAGATTAAACGAACTAAATAACGAATGATTATCAAAAACACTTATTCAATCAGCTTATTTGAAAACTTTACCATCAGCAACTTCTCTAGTTTCACCGTTGATGGTTAATGGTTTATCCCAAGCAAAGACATCATCAACAAAAGTTTTATCTTCTGGTTTTGATGGGTCTAATTTAGCGAATGAGTATGATTCCCAATCTGGAGCAACATTGAAAGCTGGTTCATGTTCTTGACCTCTAACTAAAAAGACACCAACAATACCATTGTTGTTGTTTTCACCATAGACGACACCTGAACCAAACAAGTATTTGGTTGAAGCTGATAAACGGTTGAAGAAACCACCTAACAAGTTGTTTGACATGAAGGTTAAAGTTAATTCATCGTTATATTTGTAATCAACTCTCCATAATGACCATTCAGATGGATCATAATGTTCCCAGAACCATGGTAAAGCAGTTTCTCTAGTTTCTTCGTTAGAGTAGAATCTTTTCCATTCATCCAAGTTGAAGTTGGTAGATTTACCTAATAATTCTAATGGATGTTTTGGTTTTGGAGCTGGTTCAGCTGGGGCTTCAGCAGCTGGTTTTGGAGCAGCTTTTGGAGCAGCAGCTTTTGGAGCTTGTTCTTTCTTTTCCTTTTTTGGTGGAGTGAATTCAACTGGAGCATCTCTGAATTCAAAGTTTTTGTATTGATCAGCCAAGATTGGGTGAGCAGTAACGGTGGTGAACCATCTGACAACGTTTGGATATTTAGCTCTCCATTCTTTACCCCACAAGTAGTTGAAACCACGAGTAGCTAAAGAAGCAGCGAATAAATCAGCTAAAGTGATACGTTCACCCACTAAATAAGTGAATTCAGCTAATCTAGCTTCGAAAACGCTAGCAACTTTGTCAGCAGCAGCACTTGAATCAGTAACTTGTTTCTTGTTGTATGGAACTCTACCGATTAATGGACCGAAAGCTGAACCAATAGCAGGTAACCATTCAGAGTTGGCTAATGATAACCATCTGATGATTTGAGCATATTCTCTGTTGTTTTTACCTAATAATGGGGATTTTTCATCACCTAAGGAGATAACTAATTGAAAAAGTTAGTAAAAATAAATTCAAATTGAATCCATTGAATTGAGTAGTCAATTGTTTGTAAATTTCAGATTCTAATTAAATCTCGACATTATGTATTAAGACAGGGATAACTGTTTTAAAAATTGATAATATTTCTCATCATTGCAAAACAAAAAGCAATTGACTGCACTCGTATCAATTCATAGATAAACTCACCGTATAAGACAATAGCAATAACTTCAGTTAATTTGTAACCTTTTGGACCAACAAAAGCTGGAACTTTACCTAATGGGAAAAGTTTTTGGTAGGTAGCATCTCTGTCAGTGACATTGATGTCCAATTTGTAGTGTTTGATTAAACCTTTGAGTAACAAACCTCTGGAGGATTCACCGACGTATAAAGTACCTTGAGACATTGTGAATTGAATGGATTGGATTCAACCTTTTTAAATAACAAAGAAGAAAAGGTTCAAATAAAATTTTCACGTTTTTTCGTCGACTTTCAAAAAAAATTAAAAAAAAAATTGTAGGGCAACGTTTTTGGTGTTGGGATGTGATGAGGTGCCACAGTGGGAATTCGATTCATATATTGAGAAATGGAGAGGGAATTGATTGGATAGTGGGTTGAAATAGACTGAAATTTGATACAATCGAGATCATATTATTGAATACCCTCTTTTGCCTGAAGTTTAGACTGAAATATTGAATAATTTAGATAAGAAATAGTACAATGCTAAGGACACAGCTACTATATACCGATTACAACACCAGAATATTTCAATTAAATCAAATGTCAGGTAAAAAGAGTATAATGAATAACAAATCAATCAGGAGCTAAAGCTTGGTTTATACCTTGCTTATGTTCTGCTGCTCCAAAACCTCCACACTCACATCAGATTCATGGCTAATAGCATCAACGTCATTTCCACCAACTTTTCTCACCTCTCTTTTCTGTAAAAACCATATAGCAATACCCACTAATGGCGTTGAAATCAACGTACCTAGCATAGCATAGCACCCCGTTCTCCAACTGGGAACATGGTCAGCTGGGAAAAACACAACTCCCCACCAAGCATTCAGTGCATTACTAAACATATTCATTGAAGCTAAAGTAACAATTTTCAACTCAGCATCGTTTGTTATAGCCAAATTTGCCCATGCAAAGAAGGTTGGTTGAACAGCATAGCTAACACCTGTTAAATAATGAGCAACAAAGATATTTGTGGTCTTCTCTGGACTTGTCCATATGATGATTGTGGATATGAGTAAGATTAACGAGACTGCAAATCCAACATGATGGAATTTACGAGTCAAGTCAACATAAATACCTGCAATAAATGAAGATATTATACCAACCCCATAAGTCCCCATTGGATAATAGTTTCTTTGTTGGATTGAATAACCTTTAAAAGATAACCATATTGCAAATATTGAATTCGCATTCCATGAAATGTTTTCACCAGCTAATGAAAATAACAACGAAAAAGCATACCATTTCCAGCTGGTGACAACTCTTTTAAAAGCTGTACGATCTAATCTCACAGGAGGAGGTTTAATCAATCTAGATCTTGCCAATTCTATTTCATTTGATGAAAAGAATGATTTTTTGCAAAGTTGTGGAGTATCTGGGAAAAAGAATAAACCATAAAGAACCACAACAAATGTGATTAGGAAATCCACAATGAACAACCACCTCCATCCACTCAAACCTCTTAGTCCATGCATTGTGGATTGAATTTTCCCCTGCATTGTCCCTGAAAATATACTCCCTATTAAGGCACTTGAAGTGAAAATGGCACTTCTTTTACTCAATTCATCAGGTTTATACCATGAGCCCAAAATCATATGAGAACCAGAATAAATGACACTTTCAAAAGCAGCTTGGAAAAACCTTAAGGCACAAATTTGTTGCCAACTAGAAACTCTATAAAGTCCCAGGGTGAATAACCCCCATATGAACATACATAGGTTCATCCAAATACTTGGTCGAAATTTCAACAACATGATGTTATTAGGAATCATACCGACAACATAACCCACTGTCCAACAAGTGTTGATAATGTTGAATTGATTCCCCACAATGTTTAGCTCTTCTTTCATACCTGAGACATAAGCATTTGACACATTTGAAGTATCAATGGAGACACACCAAAATGCTAGACATGTATAGCTTAGGATAAACCAATCAATTTTGAAAAGTAAGTTACGTTCAAGTTTTGATGATGGGGGTTCTCCCCATATGATTGCACGTAATTTGATCAGCACTTTTGACATTGTTGAGTTAGTTACATATCAATTGTATTCTCCTTGTTTGGTGTGATGTTGAATAAAAACTTGATCTTTTATATGAATGTGGTTGTTCTCATTGTTATGCTAAATGGGTACTTTTGAAAGCCATACTTTTTCCACAGTTGTGATTCAATAAACTCACACAAACAAAGATTAAATACTCCACCAGCAATATACGATTGGATCTGATAAATATCTGAGCACTGTCGACATTCTTCAGATTGATTGTGTTATTGAAGACAGAATTCCTGTTACAACAGGCCAATGTGTATCATAAATCCTATCATGATCATTCACCAAATACCCAAAAGCTGCTTGATTTACCTTATAAAATTGAACGCCACCATGAAAGTCCAAGACACTGAAAGCTCCAATCCATCAAAAGCATTTTCGATGTACTTGAGCACACCATAAAAAGCTTTTCAATGCTTCATTCCACAGCTTTTTGCAAACATTCTCGACATCATTTATACCCATCGCGCATCCACTAAAATGGAAAAGACGAGTTCTTTTTCCTGATCAACAGGAACCAGGAACAACAAAGCACAGCCAAATGACCCATACCATAATTCAAATACACCATATAAAATCCAACTAACCAGCCTCTACAGAAACATTCCAAAAGTATCCAAAATCAACCAGACTCAAGCATTTTCCTTCGCGAACGCGTTTGATGTTTCATAAATTTCGAGCCTCAAAAACTGAAACGCTTTTTTTAAACATCAACATTCTTCAATTCAGAGAATCCAGGAAACTCAACTAGAAACAACAACCAGAGAACTCAGTGTAACGATGTCGTCAAACGAGAATTCCACTGCTGCTCCTCCTGCTGAAGCTACTACTCAACCACAACAAGATGCTATTCCTACAAAGCCAGAACCAAAACCAATGAAAAAGAGACCAAGACCAGCCCATTTAGATCTAAAGAATGCAACACATAACGACACTGAAAACATGTCACAGTTCGCCATCAAGTGTCTTTCGCCTGGACTACCACCACTAGACCCTGCTATGCAATCCACTTTCCTAATATCCAAGTCAATTGAAGCTCAACAACGTCAACTAATCGCGTCACGACAAACTCCAACTGGATTAACAGCTCCAATGGAATCATTATCAATACCTTCATCTACAAAGAGATTGAAAAGAAACGCTCCTCCTCCATTGAATCTATCCTCAACAACCCCAGTAAGACCAACCATCATGTCTGCTCCTTCTCATCATTTCCATCAATTTCAACAATACTTCACACCTCATACAGCTGCCAAACCAACATTTAACAACAACAGTAATACCTCCAAAAAACGCGTCAAACAATTCCATCCATCATTCACCCCAATCACACCTTATGGCGTTCGTAAACCTTTAATGACAAGTATACCTTATTCAAGACCAACCCCTGGAACTGCCACATATATTAGAAATGGAATCAAGACTGGTGTTCCAAAAAGTGCAATTCCACCAAGAACAGGAATTCCAAGGACCGCAGGTGGTGGCGTTGGTCGCTATAGAGGCTTCAGAATGAAAAGGGAAGAAGGTGTTGTTGATGTTTTCACTCAAGGGGAAAGAATGGCCCCATTAGTTGCCCAACCATTGAGTGCCCAAAGGGAATTCTTCGACCATGGTGAAATCAGTATTAGATCTGCTAGAATTCCGCCAAAGAGTGCTACTGAGTCAAAACCAAGCATCCCAAAGATTATCAAAGAAGATAAGATTAATGAAGAGAGCGAATCTGATGATGTGGAGAGTAATGCCATTGAACCTGATGCTCAAGAAGGTTTGATAAGGAAATCTGAAGTTGTTGGTGAGTTGAAAATCTTGAATAACGTATTTAGATTCGGATTTGAAAGAATTGGTGATGATGAAGATAAACAAAGATTCTTGAATCATTGTTCAAGAGCTTGGGAAGAGTTTGTTAAACTTGGGAATTAACAAGAATATGTTTTTAATGATTAATTTTTATTTAATTGTATTATAGATGTTTGAGATACAAATATATGGATAATTTTTGGTGAAACTACAAATTAAGTACAAGATCATGAATAAATAACGATTGAAAAGCACTATACCAGACTCTTTGACATGTATGGACCATCCAATTCATAACCTAATCTTGAATAATAATTACGAACACCAACACCACTAATAACGCTGATTTTTTCAGATCCATGCTCTTCTCTAGAAATTCTTTCAGCTTCCTCCATTAATAATGTACCAAACCCTTGATGTTGAAATTTTCTTGGATCACGAGAATGCAATGGAACAACTGAACCATAAACATGCAATTCTCTAACGATTGAAGTTCTTTGTTTTGTAAATTCTTTTCTGTATGTATGTTTCTTTGATGCCTTACGTAGTCTTAATAGCCCAATCAAAATATCTTGTTTTGGATCTTCATAACTTAAAAAGGTTTCCCAACCTTCATTTGCATAATAATCTCTTCTAATTAATTCAACTTGATCAGGTTGAACTTTATGATGAACCTCTTGAATACCAACTTCCCTTGTTCTAACATCACGACATTTGGTACCAAAATCTTTCATTCTTGCTAATGCCAACTCTCTTAAATTACCATTCTCAACACCACTTGAAACTAATGGCATTGGAATATCTCTTTGAACTCTATAAATTCTTGTCCATGGCGGAACTAATGCCAATATTCTTGCCACTAAATCAATCAATGCATTAGCATTATATGATTTATATCTACCAGTTTTCCATAATTCATATAAACCAGTACCTCTAATAACCAATGTTGGATAAATTTTCAACCCATCAGTTCTAAAATCTGGGTTTTCAAAATACTCTTTAAATTGGGCTAAATCTCTCTCCATACAAACATTTGGTAAATCAGGCATCATATGACTAACAATCTTATAACCGGTATCTTTAGCAATGGCAAAAGTTTCACAAACAGATTTAACTGTATGACCACGATTTGTATCTCTTGCAACATCTTCATAAACACTTTGAACACCAATTTCTAATCTTGTACAGCCATATTTCAACATATCATCCAAATGGGTCTTTGTACAATAATCTGGTCTAGTTTCAATAGTGATACCAACACATTTAGTTAAAGATTGTTGAGAATATGCAATTGCTTCATCAATGTCTGTACCATTATAACCACTTAATGCATTATGTAATTGTGTGATGAAATTTTCTCTATATTCTTTATCCAAAGACATGAAAGTACCACCCATAACAATATATTCAACTTTATCCACACTATGACCCAATTGCTTCAATTGATCAATACGACCACGAGCTTGTTCATAAGGATCATAACGAGCACGGATCGCACGCATAGAAGTAGGTTCATAACCTGTATATGATTGTGTACTGTATTCAAAATCAGAGTCTGGACCACCAGGACAATAGACACAAATGTTACCAGTGAATGAAATATGCGGACATCTATGAGGTTTTGACATAACAGCAACAACACCAACACCTGAAGCAGTTCTAACTGGTTTGGCTTTCAATTTTGGTAATAGATATTTCTTATATTGATCAGGTATTGAATTGATAACATCTGTCAAACGTGGTTGGGACTTTAATTTGTATTTCTTGGAGTTTTTAGTGATTAAACCATTCAAATTGATTTCTTTTGATGTTTTCAATGAATCTATAAGTTCCAATGTGATATCTGAACAACATTGTAAGAAACGTTCTTTCTCTGGTGCAAGTTTTTGCTTGCTTTTGATCACACCAACAGCCATATTTACAGATCTTTTATTGGGGTCAGTTATGTGAAATCAAAAGATAAACCAATGATGATGTTTTTGAATGTAAGACGAAATAAAAAAAATTTGAGATGAGCTTTCGCGAACTTTACCCGAGTTTCGCGAATTAAGTGACACGCTGGAAATTGACAGCTGTGTTTTTTCCTCGAAAGCGTTGGATATTTTGGTTCTACGTGTTAAACCAACGACAACTACTTCAACCTCAGCGATAAAAGACAAGCAGATCGAGACCTCAAAGTGGAAAGAGAGAGGAAGAATAGCATACTCTCATATCACCAAAAGATGTCGTCTGCTCAATTGCCTGCTCCCGGCGAGCAGAAGGATCGAAAGACCAGTGTATCCCCAGATCAACAACAACAACAATCACCAGCTGATCCTGTGAATACGGATGGTGCAAAGTCCAAGAAAAAGAAGAAGAAGAATAAAAAGAAGAAGAAGAACAACAGTTCCACCGAGAATGTTCAAGCTACTGCTGAAACTGTTGATAATGATGATGCTGAAGAAGTGGAGTCACCAGTTGAGCCACCAACAGTTGTTGCTGATGTACAATCAAAAGCCGATACAGTGGAAGTGGAACAAGTTCCCGAAGCTAACCAAATCGCAACTCCAATTGAACCTTCTCCAGTTGAACAGCCTATTGAATTGCCACCAACTGCTCAAGAAATCAAAGTGGAACCAGAAGTTATACGAGCAACTGAATCGGAGAATGTTGAATCACAAGCGGAGCCAACAATAGAACAAGATCAAGTACAAACCTCTATAGGTGCATTAGAGCCAATTGTTAAAGATGAAGAAGTTGTAAGTGCTGCATTAGCTGAAACTGTTGAAGATATCAAAGATTCTGTTCCAGATGATACCTTGAAACCTGAAGCTCCAATACTAAGTGATGTTGGTAATGTTGAAGAGAAAGATCAAATACCTGTTGAAACTGCATTGGCTGAAACCGTGGATGAAATAAGAGAGACTGTTCCAGAAGATGTGTTGAAACCTGATTCTATAACTACTGGTGATAAAGTTGTTGGGATTCAACCAAATGATCAAATACCCGTTGAAACAGCACTATCTGCCACTGTTGAAGAGATAAAGGAAACAGCACCTGAAGAGGTGATATCTGATCATAGCTCAAATGTTCTAAACAATGAAACTGGTCAAGTTCAACCAAATGATGAAATACCTGTTCAAGCTGCATTGACTGAAACTATTAGTGAGATTGAAGAAGCATTACCAGAGGAAATTTTGAAACCACAAGAGCCTTTAAAGCAATCATCAATAAAGAACACGGAGGACAAGGTACCTGTTGAAACTGCATTATCTGAGACTGTTGATGAAATTAAGGAAAAAGTTCCAGAAAGTGATCAATCTGTCGGTAAAACTGTCTCTGAAGCTACAGTTCCAGCTAAAGAACAAGCCTATAATGATGATCCATTTGGAGCAACAGCTGCTGAAGAACAATCACTACCATGGGAGTCTGAAGTTGATCAACATGCAACGGTCGAACCCACCCAAGCTACTGCTACTGCTGAATTATTTGGTGGTAATGATGGTGGTGAATCTTTGCCCTGGGAAGCTACAAATGAGCAAGCTAAAGAAATTGAGTCTGCTGATCAACCAAAGACAGAGGACCCTTTCGCACATATAGACAATGATGAGACATTGCCATGGAACGAACCCGAAGTTGAGTCTCATGAAGTTCAAACAACGAAGGATGAAACTGAGGTAGCTACAGCTTTATTTGGTGATTCAAAAGTTGATGATTTCAGTACTTTAATTGGCGCAGAATCGAATGTTGAAAACTCGGATACCCCAATTCAGTTGCCAGAAACAACAGAAGAAGAAATTGTCAATCCAGCAGAACAACATGACTTGTTTAGCTCATCTGGTAATGATGATTTTAGTGCATTGATTAGCGGTGAGGCTTCAAGTTCTGCATCTCAAAGCCAAGAGCCTGGTAATGAAAACGCGACTACAGATAAAACTGAAGTGAAACCAAAAAAAGGTCTTTCATTTTTAGAATTGGAAATGGAATTGGATGATGATTTGTTAGATGACGATGCTTTGCTTCCAGAAGAACCAGCTCATTCAGTTCAAGTACCACAACCAACTCATCAAAATAAATATCAGCCAGCACAATCTCAACAGTTTCAACAACCTCAGCAGCGTGCAAATGCTTACAACCCTTACGCCGCTTCAAAGACGAACCAGTTTGCTGCACCACCACCACCCCAATCACATCTTGATATCAAGAAATTGAATGAAAACAAAAAGAAGTCTGATGCTTATGATTTTCCAGTTGATTTGGTCCCACAGAAAGTTGCAAAACCTGCTCGTACAATAGGTCAGAACCAATTTGCTCAACCTCATTTGTTCACTCCACTACAATCTGCTACAACACCACCTCCACCAAGTCATGTCCATGTGCCAAATGTTCCTCTGAACAGAGGCTCATCTGTACCACCTTCTGGTCCCTCTCAAGCTCCTCCATCTTCTTCCAAGCCACCTACTATGAAGAAAAAACAATCATCTTTCTTCGAAGAGCTACCCATATTACCTCCTGTTGCTCCAGCGAAAGCTGTAAGAAGTACCTCATTTGCTTCATCCAGCTCATTTGATAGTGGATTTAATGGACCTCAACCTCCTGCTGGTTATCCACAACATGCTGCACCAACTCCACCACAAAATCCTTATGCCATTCCTGCAAAACCACTTGGACCTCCAAAGATTCCTGCTTCAACCAACAGGTATGCACAATCAACTTCACCGCTCATTAATCAGGTTTCACCGGCTATTCCTCCACAAAATAGATATGCAACTCCTCAACAACCTCAACAACCTCAATTTGCACAATCCCCATATGCACCACCAGTCATTCAACCAGCTCAGTATGCTCCTGTTGCTGCTGCTCCACCAACCGGTAAACCAAGCAGATATGCACCAGCCTCTCAACCTCAAATTCCACTTGCACAACCAAATGTTTCAACATTTACTCCTGGGATGAATCAAATTCAACAACGTCGTGCTTCACTAAGCCAACAGCTTCCAGCTCCAGGCTTACCTCAACCTCTGCTTCAACAACAACAAGGTGTACAACAGGTATTCTCACCTAATTTGCAACAAAGTGTTCCAAATGTTCCGAAATACGGCCCTGGTGCTTCATCATTTGCTCCAAACACAAATTTGGCACCACCTATTGTGAATACAAATAATGCTGGATTATCACCAACTCAAAGTATCATATCGCCAAGTACGCCTGCTGCTTCTAAATATGCACCAATTAACCATAGAAGACAAGCTAGCTCAACTGCTAACCAATATGATCCGTACAGTCTGGCTAATGTTCAACAGCATCAACAACAGAAGTCTCTACACCCACCCACACAACCTGCTCAGTTACCAATTTCACAACAACAACAATTTCATCACCAAAGTCATGTTGCTCCACCACACCATTTTCATCAACAGCTGCCTCCAGTTGCGGAAAAAGTTGCAAATCCAGAGCAGTTACTGAGAAGACAATTTCCATTGTTTAGCTGGGGTAGTGGTAAAAAATTGACATATTTGATTCCTTCAAATTCATACATGCAAGCAAACATCAATATTGTTGATGCTGAAAAAGTTTTGCAAGATGTTGCTTTGAAAGAGTTTCCATCAATTAGTAAAAAGAATATTTCAGCTATTGAAACTTTCTTGGATAAACAAATTCAGAATTTGAGTGCCACATTGTCATCTCAAGCTGAAGAACATGAATTATTATTGGCTCAAGTCTTAAAGTCAAAATTGTCTAAGTCTGCTGAACCATTCAATTTGGGCGGTGCTTTTAATTATGTTGAATCTGGTCCTGCATTTAAAGAAAGACGCCCAACAATTGATGCTAGTAATAAATTGAGTAAAAGACAATTGGTTGCTTTGATCTCAACTGGTCAGAAAGAACAAGCTTTAGGTTTAGCTTTGTCATATCAAGACTATGCATTAGCTATGTTGATTGCAGGTGCTATGAATAAAGATACTTGGTTGAATATAGTGAAAGAATTTTTGGCCCATGAATTTAGTGGTGATCATGACAATGTTTTGTCAATATTGTTTCAGATCTTATGTGGTGATGCTAAAAGTGTTATTGATGAATTCAGAGCAGACCCAAACAAGAAATCGTGGGCTCTTACAAATTGGAAAGAGTTAACAAATGCTGTGTTGGCTAATGCGCCACTTTCACTTGCTCAGTTTATTAATGAGTTTGGTCATTTTTTGATTGAAAATGAACTTGTCATACCTGGTTATATTCTATTCATTTTAGGTGATGCTCCTGTTTCCAGTTTCCAAGCCAGTAAATCTGTTCGCTTCACATTATATTTGGAAATTTATGGTCTAACACTACAGGAAAAAGGTGTTGCTTCAGATTTATCATCTGTTCTATTGCAGCATGCTTATTATTTAGCAGACTATAATTTGTTGACTGATGCCCAAAGATATTTGGAGACTGCTACTGCTTCATTCAAAGCTTCAAAAGGTGTTCCTGTTAATCCAAAACTGATGTATTCAGCTAAATTGTTGAGTGAAAGATTATCCGGTGCCGGTGTATCAGAAGGTAGTTGGTTTGGAAGACCTAAATTGGATAAAGTTTGGGGTACCTTGGATAAAAGTTTGAATAAGTTCATTGCTGGTGATGAAGCCACAAAATCAAGCTCGAAAGACGGTGGTGTTTTCAGCAAATTTAGTCCAAATGTTTCGAGAACTTCTTCATATCTTTCATTACAGGCAGCTGGACAACAACAACAACAATACCCAGCCTCACATAGACAACCGTCAACATCTGCTGCTGTTCCACATCGCCCAAGCATTTATGCACCAATTGGCGTTTCTAGTGAGAATGATACGTTCCCTACTACCCGTGTTCCAGCACATGTTGCTTCACAACCACCTAGTGCACCATTCACTCCACTAGCTTTGAAGAAGGCTGAATCAAAGCCTGAGTTGAGGTCCACTGATCTATTGAAAGGTCCAAAGCCACCACTTCCAACAAACCCTTATGCACCAGGAGCTGCTGCTTCTTCGCTCGCTCAACCTCCAAAAATCGGAGCTCATACTCCTTTGTCAAGTCGTGGAAGTAGCCCAAGAGCATCTTTGGCTGATTTATACACAACTTCTTCGCCAAACTCAAGACCTTCCAGATATGCTCCAGCTGCTAATGATGAAACTTCTAGAAGATCATCCATTCATTCAAATGCTAGTGCTCACTTGAATGAACCACCATTTGCTTCAAAGTCCAGTGTCTCAGCACCATTGAAAACTTCAAAGAGTTATGCACCACCTTCAGTTTCATCAGTCTCTGCTCCAATTCAACATACACAGTCAGTGGATCAGATCTTACCATCAAAAGTGGGTCCTAATGCATATAAACCACCTATTGCGAAGTCACCAGCTCCTTTGCATCCTCCAACGGTGAGTCAAATTCCATCACAGAATCATTCTCCTCAAGCACTTCACCCAGCTGTAAAGTCTGTTTCAACTCCTCCAATTTTGAGACAAAACAGCAATGCTTTACCACCTCCTCCAAAATTCAATCAATATGCACCACCTCCTGCTCCACAATCTCCTGGCTCACAAAGCCTCGAGCTATTATCAGCACCTCCTAAACCTCATGCTGTTGAGCCTCAAGTTGATGCACCAGTTGATCAAGCTCCACAACTACCTGCACAGCCTGTTGTCACAAATGAGAGTTACTTACCACCAACTGCTCCTGAACAAGATCTTGACGAAATAAGACAAGATGATAAAGAGGAAAATTTCCCAGGAGAAGAAGCTTTGGATAGACAAGTTGAGCTAACAACTGAAGAGGAACATGCTGTTGAATTTGATGAACAAGCACAAGAGGAAACCGTTGAGGGTGATGTTCATCCAGAATTAGGTTTTACTGAGGGCAATAGAGTTGAAAGTGAAGAATTTGATGTTGGTCCTTCTAACGTTACACAATATGATGCTCCTACAGAAGATGAGGTTCATGAACCGTCACCAAAATCAGCAGAGGTGCAAACTGTTAAACCAAAAGAAGAAATAGAGCAGTTATCATTTAATGCTCCACCTTCTTATAAACCACTGGCCCCTGTGAATCCTTATGCTCCTCCACCATCAAATAAGACTTATTCTGCGCCTTCTAATCCATATGCTCCAACTCCAGCCCCACCACAGTCTGAAGAAATCACCACTGCTAATGAAGGTGCTCCATTTGTTACAAGTCCACCACCAGTTTCCGGGCCTCCTGTTAATAAAAGCTCACCATATGCCCCAAGAAACTCTGGCGCTCCATCAAAGAGAAGTTCATCAGCTAGCAAATTTACACCAAGATCTTATACTCCTGCCAATGCTACTCATGAACCTGAAAACATTGGTGTTTCTGGTGACATTGATTTCAATGCAATGGGTGAAGGTTATGAACCACCTAAAGCTCCTGTTGAACCAAAAGTGGAAGTTCCTGCTTCAAGTGCTCCGGTTTCAGAACCTAGTCGTAATGTTTCAGTTTCAAGTTATTCTCCATATGATTCTAGACGTGAATCTGTTGCTTCAAACCCATATGCCCCAGCTTCAACTATTCAGACCCCTGTTGAATCGAAGTTCAATCCATATCAACCAAATGGGCTAGATTCTAGCGGTCAATCATTTGATGGTGTATCTAGTGGTGCTCCAACTTTTAATGCCCGTCAACAGTCACAATTCAGTCCTTTACAACCGGGTACTTTATCTCAAAATTCTACAATTTCAACAACTTATGAACCACCATCTGCCAAGATTACTGCTTATGAACCTCCAAAGACTAATAATATCAGTAATATTCCAGAGGATGATGAATATTATGATGATGTTGTTGATGATGAAGATGACGATGACGAGGATGAAGACGATTCAGATGAGAAAAAGAGTTCGAAGAAGGAGCGTAAGGCTTCACTTAGTAAGAAGGATTCAGATCAAGATCAAGCTGGTGGATGGTTTGGTTGGTTACGTAAAGACAAGAAGAATGAACCAAAAGTTTACCGTGCCAAACTAGGTGAAGAGAACAGATTAGTCTATGATGAAAAATTGAAAAGATGGGTTGATAAGAATGCCAAACCTGAAGATTTACAAGCAGCTGCTGCTCCTCCTCCACCTCCAGTGATTAAGAAGAAACCAAGTTCAATTAGTAAACCACGTTCAGATTCTGTCAGTGATGCTGGTTCGTTGAAATCACCTGTTGCTTCATCTGCTCCACCTTTAGGAGGTAATGGATTCAATACTCCTTCAAATGTTGGTTCTGCAACTGGTGCACCTTCTCCTGCATTACCACCATCAAGAAAGGTTGCAAGTCCAGCTGTTGCTAATGATTTAGATTCATTGATGGGATTATCAAGTGCCGGTAGTGGTGCTGCAACAGGAAGAGGTAGAAAGAAGAGAGGTGGTAGGGCCTACGTTGATGTTATGTCTTTGCAACAAAAGAAGTGATTGTACAATTGTGATAAAAAGGTGTGTACATGCATTTTTCCAATTTTTATCAAATAATAAGACTCCTGACATATATACAAGGGATAATTTTGAAGGATTTCTGTATAAATAAAAATTATTTCACGTTGATTTTAGTTTATTCAATCCTCTTTTGAAGTGATTGTAGAGTTTGATGGTTGAGATTTTGGTGGTAATCTGAAAATATCACCATTATTACGCATCATTTCAAAAATTTGAGATTGTTTGGCATCTTCAGGTTTAGGTATTTTATCATATGGTGAGTTCTCAAAAGCTGAACCTGATAATATGGCTTCATTTGTGTGTAAATCCACTGTAAACCCAACATAATCAACAACATTTCTTGAAATTTTGGAAACTTTTTCATTGTCTAAGTTAACTTTAATTAGTTCTTGATTAGTATTAAATTTGTAGACAACTTGAACATATTCAACTGGTTTACCTGGTAACATAACAGGTCTGAATGTAACTAATTTTGGAGTTTCATTGAATTTCACTAATTTCCAATCTAATTTGATGTTTTTTGGGATTGTCTCAACTCTTGAAGTCAATGCTCTTTCAACCCAGACGGACATACCTTTATGGACTGCTGGGATTTTATTGTGAGCAAAAGCTTTATTAACTTGAACATATCTTTCGATGGAGTTATTTTTCCAAAGTAAGAATTTTGGCTTTAAACCTGTTTGATAACGTAAAAATGCAACTTGAATAGTGTTGAAACCGAAGTTATATAGTCTTCTTGCAAGACAATTGTACGCAAGCTTTGGAGATGTCAATGGATTTGGGAAGTTTTTCCATGAAATTGGGATATATTGGTCACCTGTAAGACCTATGAAACGAGGATCAAAGACATGGGTGCTATCAGTACCTTCTTTCTTTTTAGGTTTAGCTGATTCTTCTTTTGTTTTGGTTGAATACTTGGAGATGGATAGTAGGGTTGAGGATGGTGATTGTCTGGTAGAAAGAGCAGCCCTTCTCGAATTTGCCACTAGTGGCAATGCTATTGATCTGTACATCTTGAGATCTAATCTTCCCTGGTCTAAATCTTGGAATTAAATGTTTTGATTTCAATCGATTGACCCATAATTCTTTATTCGTGGAAAAAAAATCCAAGTCCAGACTGTCATTTCTCGAAGGGTACGCAAAATTTCCTTATTAAAGTAATGCGCTAAATAATTACCATATATGGCTGTCTGATTCCTGCCAAATCTTCAAATAGTAATTAAATCGGCTTTTACGAAATAAATACTGCTTTCGGTAATCTAAGTCGCGATTTTATGTCAAATAACTTCCTGATTTGGTACTGTGCGTTATTGGACGGGGCAGAAGCTATTTTTAGCAACTTTCTGTAGAAAAAAAAATCAAAACACGAATTTTGAATAAGAAACCAGTTTTTAATCCAAAACACACAGTTTATCGAGAATCCCATTGATTAAACAGTACAGAGATCAGATTATAAGAACCCATTAAAAGTCCTCAATTGAGCTCAGAGACTCCCCCAAGCTTTTTTTATAACCATTTCAAACTCACCCTTTGAAACGCCTCCTGCATTGTACATTAACAAAACTGGTCTTTGGCACATATTTATGTTAGATTGAGGTTGGATCAACTACTTTACATTTTCAAAGCCCACACAATTGATCAGTTTTAGGGGAAATATTTCAACAGTTTTTGAGTTTTATGTCAATCAACGAAGAAGTTTTTACTTTATTCATCAAACCCGAAGATCAATAAACTCAAACCACCTGAACCATTACTATTAATATCCTATTACCACCCCATACTATCTCATATTCAAACAAGTTAACCGAAAAATACATCTATATTTAGCAAAGGCTTTACAATCATGGGTAGAAGAAAGATTTCAATTCAACCTATTACTGATGAGCGTAATAGGAAAGTGACATTTGTAAAGAGAAAAGCTGGTCTATTTAAAAAAGCACATGAATTGGCAGTTTTATGTCAAGTAGACTTGGCTGTTATAATACTAGGAAATAACAATTCAAAATTCTATGAATATAGTTCAGTTAATGTTCAAGATTTATTGGGTGATTTCAAAGATAGTAAATTTCTACATGACTCCAAAACACCAGCAGATTATGGAGATTATGAATTAAAGTCAAGAGTTAGAGGCCGTGGTGAACTAAGCTCTTCGCGTGCTAGCAGTAATACACATAATAGAAACACTTCAATGAATTCTGTTAGTATGGATGATAATCTTCAATCAAGTGATGATGAGGATGGAGAAGAAGATGATGATGAAGAAGAGGAAGATATCAAACCACCTCCAAAACGTCGTAAAGTTAAAGAGGTTAAGGAAAAGAGCCAAAATCAACAGAAGATATCAAAACAACAACAACAACAACAACAACAACAACAACAACAACAACAGCAGCAGCAGCAGCGTGCTCAAGCACAATATCAACAGCAACAACAAGCTCAATCACACCCAGGTCAACCCCAAAATCTTCTTCCACCACCAAATATATCAGCTGTACCTGTACAATATCAGCAAGTTCCACCACATCAGCATCAATATGAACATCATCAAATGGTTCCACCTAGCTATATGCCACAAGAAGGTATACCGAACCACCAACAAACTCAACCTCATCATCCACCACAAGGGTCATTCCACCCTAATCATGCTCCTCCACAATATCAGTTTCCAGTACCACAATACCAACTACCTCCACAACAATCACCATACCTAGCTCAACAACAGATACACCAACAACAGCAACATTCTCAACAACAACCTCCACCTCCACAAAGACAGCCATCAGAGCCTCTTTCATCAAATGCTTCTACACCTGTTATTCCAAGCTCAAAACCCGTCATGAACCCAAATTCTCCATTCACAAATTCTCAACGAGCAAGATCTATCAACAGTAGCATAAGCTCCAGACCACAATTGAGAGTTGAAATACCAAAAGATCACAAGAATAGTGTTGGTGCTAACAATAACAACAATAATAAAAATGGACCAGGTGATAGTGCAATGACAGTTACTGCAATTGACACTGGGAAAAATAATCCAAATATTAAAGAAAACACAGATGGTAATAATACACCAACTTCAGGAAGTTCTAAACCAGATGACAATAGACCAGGTTTAGGTATTTTAAGTAATAAATCAACACCAATAAGTGCCACATTACCATCTGGGTTATTTTCATTACCACCACCTCAACCAAATCCTCAATATCAGAATAATAATTTCAAACCACCATTGAATATAAACACTGGAGAACAAACTCCATTAACCGGAGGATTACCATCAAGATATGTACCTGATTTATTCCCTTCACCATCAAATTTTTATTCAAATGAATGGAATATTCCATTTGGTTCAGGAAATACCCCATATCCCAATAGTGCAATTCAACCTGGTCAAATGTTACCCAATATAAATAATGGTAAATTCCCCAAACATTCAAACCTGCAAAATGATGGTACAGGTGGTGGAGGTGGTGTCAATAGTCCATTACAAAATACACCATTGGGTAATCAAACGAGGAAGAAAGAGGATGAGAAGAGTTTACAAGGGAAAAGGATCAAGTTTGAAGAACCTGACTCCTGAGTAATCCAAACGATTATATATATATATACACTGTAATATAGCCTTTAAGTTTATGAGTTTCATCAGTTAGTTTTGCTTTTTGCTTTCCAGTTCACATTTCAAAAATTTCAATATATGTATTTATACACTATTTTGTTGTACCATAGGATGTTTTCTTATGCAAGGGACCAGCATAATAAAAACTACGAGTTTCGATGCCCTGTTCTCAGTCAGGTGACTGCTCATTCAAGCCCTTATCAGTCAGGTGATAATTATATTTTGGTGTTTGGATGTTAACAGTCCCATTGAAATTTCAAAAAACAGACTCATTTTTTTTTCTGAGAGGAGTTTCGCGAAAGGCACGAATGTCCGGGGTTCAGGTGGGCATAACAAAACTACTAAAAAACATCCCAATTAGGAACTATTCCGTTTTGGGTGCCCACTCAAATTCAGAAACCTCGAAATTTTTCAGAAAAACTCCCAAAATTGTATAGAAAACATAGTAAAATTGGTATTTCACTCTTTTGTTATAGGAAAGTTTAAGGGAATAAGGCATAATGAAAGTATGTTATATTGAGGTATAATAGAGAGACTTTACATTGGAAATGGATTTCAAGAATAATAAAGCAGGGAGAGTACATCAGGATGGATTATACATTGTTTCCAGTGACGTTAATGAATCAAAGAATTAATGATATTGAATTCACCAAGGGAATGAGAGATTACAAGGGCACGAGAGATCAAAGTACTAGAGGGAGGGATATGTAAAGAAATAATCATCATATGTGACTAGAACTATTGAATTTGATCAACAGAGTGTCTTGTTTTGCAATTATCAAGAATTAAAGAACGAACTACAAAGATTTAACAAGAATAATAAATCACATCAAGGTGAACTAGTCACGGAAAAGCAATCGCAAAGAAGAAACTAGACTTCAAATGAAACCCATTTCCAAAGAGATCAAGTTCAACTCCAATTATCAAGTTTCCCTTTTACTAACAATAATTTTAGTTAAACATTGCTTATCCAGCCAACGGTACTCAAAAAACCGTCGATATCGATGATGAACATCGTTTAAGAGTTTTCTACGATAAGAGAATCGGTACTGAAGTTGAAGGTGAATCAGTTGGTGATGAATTCAAAGGTTACGTTTTCAAAATCACTGGTGGTAACGATAAACAAGGTTTCCCAATGAAACAAGGTGTTTTATTACCAAACCGTGTTAAATTATTATTAGCTAAAGGTCATTCATGTTACAGACCAAGAAGATCTGGTGAAAGAAAGAGAAAATCTGTTAGAGGTGCCATTGTTGGTCCAGATTTAGCTGTTTTATCATTAGTTATCGTTAAACAAGGTGATGCTGATATTGAAGGTTTAACCAACGAACAAGTTCCAAAAAGATTAGGTCCAAAAAGAGCCAACCATATCAGAAAATTCTTTGGTTTAACTAAAGAAGATGATGTTAGACAATATGTTATTAGAAGAGAAGTTGTTAAAGGTGATAAAAAATACACTAAAGCTCCAAAAATTCAACGTTTAGTTACTCCACAAGCTTTACAAAGAAAACGTCATTTGAAATCATTGAAAATTAGAAATGCTCAAGCTCAAAGAGATGCTGCTGCTGAGTATGCTCAATTATTAGCTCAACGTTTACATGAACGTAAAGCTGAAAAAGCTGAAGTTAAAAAGAGAAGAGCTTCTTCATTAAAAGCTTAGATTTCCTTCTAGGGTTTTATGTATTAAATTTAATTTGGATTATTATCTGTAAAAAGAGAGTTGTAGATAAGTACAGTAAAGCCATATTTCATTCTAAATGTTGTTAAGTGTTATAAAAATTGCACACATGACGTCTATCTTAAAGTAACTAATTCTTCAGCACTTGTTGGATGGATAGCAACACAACTATCAAAATCTTTCTTTGTAGCACCCATTTTAATAGCAACACCAAAACCTTGCAAGATTTCAGCACTTGAATCACCAACTAAATGTAAACCAACAACTTTTTCCTCAGGACCTTGACAAACCAATTTATAACTAATTGGGGATTTTTCTTCCAACATTGCATAATACATTGGAGTGAAATTTGTTTTATAAATCTTGATTTGATCTTGACCGAATTTTTCAATGGCTTCTTTTTCAGTTAATCCAATTGAACCAGCTTCTGGATGTGAAAACACAACAGATGGAACGTTTTCATAATCTAATTTATCATTCTTGAATTGCTCTGGACCAAATAATCTGTTTGATAATTTACGACCAGCTGCAATGGCAACAGGAGTTAATTCAACTTTACCAACAACATCACCTAATGAATAATAGTTTGGAACTGTTGCGTTTTGGTATTCATCAACTTTGATCTTGTCACCTTCTAATTCAACACCGGTATGTTCTAATCCTAGACCTAATAATGATTTACGACCCATTGTCCAAATCAATTGATCAACTTCAAATGAATCACCAGTACTTAGGTTAACTTTGATTGCATCGTTTTCCAATTTTTCTAAAGATTTCACAGTAGAACCTTTGTGGAAATGGACACCCATTTTTTCATAATGATTAGTTATAGTTGTTTGGATTGAATCATCAAATTTTCTTAAAACGGTATCACCTCTAATAACCATATGAGTTTCAGATCCTAATCCATGGAAGAAACCTGTAAATTCAACACCAATATAACCAGCACCGACGATACCAACTCTTTTTGGTTGTTTTTCCAATTTGAAGAATCCATCTGAATCTATACCCAATTCAGCACCTGGAACGTCTGGAGTAATTGGGGTACCACCTGTAGCGATAAGATAATGATTAGCAGTGAAAGTTTCCACATCACTTCCATCAGATTTATGGACCTCAACTTCACCTTTGGCATTGAATTTAGCCCATCCGTATTTCAACTCAACACCTTCTTTTGATAAATTTCTTTCATAAATACCATTTAATCTCTTGATATAAGCATCTCTTTTAGGTTTAAAATATTCCCAATTAAAAGTCTTGCTTAAATTTGGATCAACATCAAAACCATATTCTTTTGATTGAGCGATTTTACCAGCGACATCAGAAGCATACCACATAACTTTTTTAGGAACACAACCAACGTTAACACAAGTACCACCAATATGTTGGCCTTCGATTAATAAGACTTTAGCACCATATTGAGCAGCTCTTCTTGAGGAGGCGACACCTCCAGAACCACCACCGATGACTAAATAGTCGAAATGTTTTGGGATTGGAGACATGATTGATCTTGAAGTGCTGAATAGACGTTTTGATATGTTGAACATATATCAATTGAGTTGAAACTTTGATGGGTATTAATTCAAAAAGTTGAGATTTTGGATCGTTTTTATTTTGAGTTTGTATAATTTGTCAGGATTTCGCAATCGATTTCGCGGGTCGATAAGTGCAGAAATGATTAGAAATTGGCTGGAAATTTGTGGAATTTAAAAGAGGTTTTTTGACTGAGAAAAGTGATTAGAAATTAGAAAATTATTATAAGTTTTGTATATTTAGATTTCTGTGGATTTGTGGCGTGTTTTGGTGATGATTAATGCGGTTGTTAATGGTTTGGAACTTTGAAAGTTGACTAAAACTCAAAGTCCGATTCATGTGCTTTGATTGATATCCATCGGAACTAGCTTGACTGGTTTTATGTGGCAGAAGATTTAGAGTACGGCTGGCATATCGCTGGACTGATAATTCAACAATTGTTGCCGATTAAGTTGAAGTATGCTATCAGATTGTCAAAGCCGATAAAGTCCGTCATACGAAAGCAATTACAAACATCTACGACATCTTCAATTCAAATGCCAAAGTAAATGCTAATATTGAATGCTATAAAATTGTTTTGAAACCATCACACCATTGATTTCCCACCATCACTGTTTCTCTTAGGCTCTTGCTTTGGCGCAGCAGGTCTTTCAAAGAGAATACAACCAACAATGCACACAACAACAATTGCAACCAATGCAACACTATAAATAATCCCAATGACTCTAAAAGTATACCAGTTTTTAATATTCCAAACTTGATTAGTTGATAATGCCATTGTTCCCAAGGGGAAAGTCATTGCCCACCAACCTTTATGGAACTTAATCCAAGAATTATCAATGATTGATGATACAACTGATGATAGTGCGATAAAAGTCATGAATAATCCAGAGATTATCAAAAACAGTCCAATCCATAATGCAACTTCTTCAATCAATTCTCCAATTATTGAATTATTCAAATGGTGGAAATTCACACCAAACAATTGAATGGCATAAGAACCTTGGCCCATGAATCCAATTGGTATAAACATTGTGAAAATTGCTTGTTGTGGCGGGATTGTAGAGTTGATGAAACTGTTGATGATGACAGTGGCTAATATGAATGATAACAACATTGAATTTGACCATAATAGATAAGTGATCACTAATGTTGATTGTTTCAAATGTTGAGGCAAATGAGGTAAAATAATCCCACCAGATGATGCAACAACTGTTAATGTGACAACAGGTAATAATAAAGTGAATGACATGGAAGTTGATTTTGTTTTCACAATTATGAAAAAGATGAAATATGATGTAAATAATGATAATGCAATTCCAATCCACCACAATACATATGCTAATATTGGTTGGTTTGGGGTTAGGAAATGAAGCATATTACACCAACTTGTGAACCCCATGGCATAACAACCTAGGAATACATTATTCTGTGAGTATAAATGTGTGGGTAGTGTGTTGTATAATATTGCACCAAGTATGAATATCACTGTTGTTGATAGTAATAATAATGAGTTTATAGTAAACATGATTATCCCCAGTATCTGACACCATTGGTGGTTATAATTGTATAGTATGGATGAAGCTATCCCAGTACCCATGATACTGACGAACCACACTGGGTGGAATGATTTGATGATTGAGTTCATTATTGTGTATGCTCTGGATTAATACCCATCAACACCATCTTGTATATTGGCTATCCTCTTGTATATATATGACAGCATATTGTACAAACACCGTTTATTCAGTCATTTCTACTTTTTTTTGCCAAACCACGAACTTTCACAACTCTAAACCCATTTCCCATAGACTTCAAAAGCCTTTTCAATGCCCATTGCCCATACACTTTTTTCTCGGGGTTTGATTAAAAGTTTCGTAATATTTCGCAGAATAGAGTGTGTGTATTATGTAATCATCATTATCACAACAACAGATGCTTAACATTGAATCAAAGTGATGGTTTAATATAGCCAGATTCTCTAAAAATGATTTAACAGTATCCAATCGAAAGTACCAGGCAAAAATCATTAGAACTGCTACTGACATCTTCAACAAGGCGCAAATTACACTCTGCCAATATCGTACGTGTCACTAGAAACACCAAAAGTTTTACAATAGTGGTCTTATGGGTCTTGATTCATACAATTACTCAACTCCTAGGCCTTCACTCTATTAACTACATGGACATGGTTTGTCCAAGGGTACTATTGATTCCTAGCCATTATGTGTACACGGCAAGTCCGTGTACATCTCTCAAAGCGTCCCAGAAAGGATAATTAGGTCCTACAATTAAGCATTTCCACTTCAAAGCACACAATCCTCAAAACCATCAGTTTTGGAAATATACGAATCCCTCCATCACCATGCAAGTGAACTTCCCTTCGTATTTCACAAAAGAAAAATCAACATTTACCCTTCAAGAGTCAAGACGTGCAGATTTTAGATCTGTTTATGCTTCATAAGTACCATGGGAATCGGTTACACGCATGTATGATTTAGTGTGGAAGAGGTCCAAACATTCCAAGTGAACTGTTTGGGATACAACCATTGTTTAAAATGGTAGTTGGTACTTGGTCCACTAAGTATTGGCGAAAAAGGTTTAGAAAGGTTGAAAAACTTTTACAGAGTGGTGGTACTATGAATACGGGAATGTCAAAAGGTTCATATATATAACCTGATGAAATCCTTTGAAAATAAAATCAATTTGTTCGTGTTTTCCCTTCTTGTTTTGACTTCATATTTGTTTGATAAAAGGAAAAGAAGACGCCATGTTGCGAAATTATTTCTTAGTATTCTTTGCATCTTTGATTGCAATTGCATATTCAAAACAAATTGATGAAATTTTCTGGTCATTCAATTCCATTAAACTTCAAGAAGGTACTGGTTATCCTTATGATTTATTCAGAGTCAACATTGGTTGGGAAATTGATGGTGGGTTAAACCCACAAACTGGTGATTTATTCTCTTTGGATATGCCTTATGTCTTGGATGTTAGATGGGTTAATGAAACTGGGTTTGATACTTTTGAAGAAAACTTCGACATTAAAACTGATGATGATGTGGTCATTGCAAGTTGTGACTTCTTCCAAGCTGCCGGTAGGGCAAATTCTTCAAAAGTTAACTGTCGTTTAACTGCTGATGTTTCAATTTATCGTCAAATTGAAGGTAATATCACTTTGGATATTTCATTCGATGCAGGTGGTAGAAATGAAACTATTCCTGCTGCTAAGCATTGGGTTAGTGGTCAAAACACAATCACTTTTAACGAAAAATTGTCTCAAAACATTACTTTCCAAATTCCAGACCCTGATACAAGAGGTATGGTTTATCAATATGATATGAATGATGAATTATTGATGTATTACATGTTACCTTCCACTTTATGTCCAGGCAAAGGTATTGTGGGTGGTTCATTTTATTTCTATACTTATAGAGGTGATTTGACAACAGCAACTTCGTTTGTCTTGTGGAATATGACAGATCCTGAATTATTTGTTGCGACTGAATTATCTCCATATGGGTTCCCAACTGCTATTGATAAATTAAATATTTTAGACACACAAACTTGGAATAGTGGTTTAAAATTCAAAGTTCAATTTGGTGCAATCCCAGCTGGACAAAGAATGGTTTATTCATTCTATAACGATCCATATTATTGGAATGCTTCTAGTGGTGCTTATATGCATTTTAATCCAGATGTTACTGTTGTTTGTGATGATTATTCTACCGCAACTGATTTCCATTATTACCGTTATAGACCAAATGCTCCAAATTCTACTGATCAATATGCTGTTCCAACAACTGTCACTACAACAAACACTTGGTGTAGTGATACCACTTCAACAACTTTCCAAACTGGTTCAGGTGCAACTGTTACTGAAATTATTAATGTTGCTCAAAAGAAAACCTCTTGGACTACAGAAACCACTGGTGGTTCTTTTGCAACTACTTATACCAAGAATTTCACTTCTGATCAAACTCAAGTTACTGTCGTTGTGGAAACTTCAATTCCAACAACTACTTACACCACCGTCACCTTGCCATGGAATGAAGGTTATACCACATTAACCACAAATTCTTATTCTCCAGGTGATATGGAAATCATTGTTGTTGAAAAAACACCTGCTGCTAATTTCAGTTCAACAACTTACATAACTATAACAAAGCCATGGGATGAAGGATTCACTTCAACTTATACAAATCCTTATGAATCTGGTGCAAAAGAAATTATTGTTGTTGTGGAAACTCCTGTTTCTGATTATAATGCCACTACCATTACTACTGTTACAAAACCATGGTATGAAGGCTATACAAGAACTTATACACAGCCATTCACTTCAGGAGAAACAGATATTGTTGTTATTGTGGAAACACCATCAACTTATAATCCAACACATACAACAACTTTAACTCTTCCATATGATGGTCCATTGAATTTCCCAATTACTTTCGAATATCCTTATAGCTCAGGTGATACTGCAATTATCCATATTGTTCAAACTCCAGCTCCAAAGAGCTCAAGTGCTATGGCAACTAGCGCTCCGGCTGTCACAGGTAGAGCAAGAGGAGTGTATGATTTATCAGGAGATGATGTTTCAAGTTTTTTGGAACCTTATAAATCCATGAATGTTACTTTACAATATTACAATGAAGAATTGGGAAAGACTATCAGAACTACACCTTGATTCGAGCTTAAAAGATACCCGGTGCTGGACTTTTTAGTATCAATATTTTGATTCTTGTGTTTTCATTTTTGTAACAGCTTTTTTTTTAAATATTTGATTAAGCTTTATCATAAAGCTAATTTCATAAACATTTGTATAATTATTATTCAATACTTTCGACTCTTTGACCTTCAAATGTACCTAGTAATTACCATTTTTTGAAACGTCCTAGTTTAAATAATTGGGCCGGTAAATATCAAAAGATCACATCGATATCATGGTCAGAATTCATGCCCAAATTATTACAAATAGCACTATACTGTCACCCATGTGTTTATGAGTCATACCGGTTTCCTTTACCTGAATTCACTCAGGTTTGTGCGTCTGAATTGGTCCCAATTGTACCATGTAGTGGAAATGTTGAAGGTCTTTACTCTTCGTATCAAAGCCAGCCGGCATTTTCAAAACTTGGATTCAACGGACCAACCAGTTACTGCCCACTCATTAAAAAAGCCAAAAACCTCTGCCTGGAGCTTGCCGATAGAGTCTTCAACTTCTTTGCAGCTCCAAGATATACCTACATCAATCATTTTAATAGTCCTTGATCAGTTTATAAGTTGTACTACTTCGGAAAAATATCTTATACACCTGTCAGTTATTGAACCTTGTATTTTGACAGCGCGGCCCAAAAACAAGCTGTACTCGATTTTAAGAAGCCAAACTGGCCGGTTGAAACTTGGTTATAATCCAGCAAAGTGGACCGGTTCTGGACACTTGAGACTAATCATTTCTCAGGTACAATATGATCTTATAAATGGCTTTGTATAGCATCGGATATTCACTTTTCCTGAACAATTTCGCCGGAACTTCTGGGACTTTGTACCCCTTCGGAAATATACAGCCGTTCAAACTGAAGTGGAAGTGAAAAGCTTGATTTGCTTGAAGAAATTACTATGAGAATGAAGAGTCAACACGGCTCAGTCTCAAGCTGGATTCATACAAAAATGGGAGTTGGTTATACACAAATGCAAGATGTGCTACTTGTTTTGTTAACGTCATCGCCATGTTTATGCCAGTGTTATTACTGCATTGATAATTAGGATCACGATTATTTAAAGAATGCAGTTTTCCTGTAAATAAAACCACAACTCATCAATTATCAAAATACCATGTCCATAAGTAACGAATCAAATTCAAGAGAGCTCGCAATGAAAACTGAAGAAGATCTCATAAGTAGATCCAGTGGGGAAACTGACACTTATACAAACGAACAGATACCCAATGAAACAAGTATCAATACTGATAATTCAGGTGAAGCATTAGAACCAACAGTATTTAGAAAACAGTCTGCTGATTTGGAAAGAGGACGAGCAACAGGTACTGAGTTATCAAGGGTAGAGTCAAGTCCATTGGCAACAAGACAACTATCTCGTGCGTTAAGTGGTATTGATGGAAGATTTGGCTCAAGAACCGCAACAAGACTATCAAAAGCACCTTCAAATCAACAAATACCACAAATGGGTGGGAATAAGCCATTACCAAGATAGTATCCAGATCCAGATATGTATACAGTGGACTTTGATGGTCCAGATGATCCACTCATCCCATTTAATTGGACAATAAGGAAAAAACTTTTTGTTTCTACTGTTGTTGCTGTTCATTCATCTTTAATTTCTTGGGCATCAGCAATTTTTTCACCAGCTATTGTTACTGTTGGTCATAGATTTGGTGTTAGTAGAGAAGTTGCAACTTTAGGACTTTCTTTATATGTGTTGGGTTTTGCAACTGGACCTGTTATATGGGCACCTTTATGTGAATTGTATGGGAGAAAGCCAATTATGGTTTTAAGTGGAATTGGTATGACACTCTTTCAATTTGCAGTTGCTACAGGGAAAGACATTCAAACTGTATTGATTTGTAGAGCTTTTGGTGGTGCAATTAGTGCAGCACCTTTGGTTTGTGTCCCAGCAATTTTTGGTGATATCTATAGAGATGAAACAAGAGGTAAAGCAATTACTGTTTTCATTATGACTATTTTCATTTTCCCTATTGTTGCTCCAGTTGTTGGTGGTTTCATTGTGAATAGTTATTTGGGTTGGAGATGGACTGAGTATTTGACTGGTATAATGGGATCTTTCACGACGCTTATGATTATTTTTTTCTACCCAGAAACTCATCATCCGATATTGTTAGTCTCCAAGGCTCACAAGATTAAGGAATTGACTGGTAATTGGATGATCCATGCTGCTCATGATGAATTTACATTAACAATTAAAGATATTGTGGAGAAGAATTTATCTAGGCCATTGGTGATGTTGGTAACCGAACCAATCATTTTGTTGATTAGTATTTACAATGCATTTGTTTATGGAATTTTATACTTGATGCTTTCAGCTTATCCAGTGATTTTTGCCGAAGGTTATGGTATGAAAGGTGGTGTATCAGAGTTACCATACTTAGGAATGGTTGTTGGTATGGTATTTGCTGGTGTTTTTGCCTTTCTAATGGAAGGTAAATATGTCAAGGCATTGAGAGCAAATAATCATAAGCCAGTTCCTCAAGCTAGATTGTATACTTTATTTTATGGCTGTTTTGCATTCCCTATTGGTCTTTTTTGGTTATTTTGGACTGGTGCATACCCTAAACATGTTCATTGGATGGCACCAACTGCATCAGGTGTCTTTACAGGATTTGGGTTAGTTACCATTTTCACTTCATCAATCAATTTTATTCTTGATACTTATTTGGCATTTTCGGCTTCTGCTATGGCTGCTAATGCGTTCTTAAGAGCTATTTTTGCTTGTGCATTTCCTCTTTTCGGTGTTCAAATGTTGCATAATATGGGCGTTCAATGGGCTGGTTTATTATTGGGATTGATTGGTGTTATTCTGATACCTGTTCCATTTTTGTTCTACAAATATGGTGACAAACTAAGAGATAAATCAAAATTTGCATATGAACTTGAATAGACCTACATGTGTATAACTTTGAAATACAAAATTCATTATTCATTAAAAGACCCTCTTCTTGATACTATTGATTCAATAAAATCTAAATCGTGATCCAATTTTGCCTCTAATCTATCAAACAACAAAAACAGAATGTAATTAGGCTCACTGATGGGCAAACTTAAAGGTGATTTATCAGAAATCCAAAACAATCCATCAGAAAATTCCTCTCCTTGAACCTCTAATAGCTCCATGACAGATGTCCATTCTTGAAAACTATATCTTTTTGATGGGTTATCCTTAGCCTCCACAATCAGTTTTTTCAAATGCTTGATCAAAACTTTTGTATGTGGGGGTTTTTTAGGCTTAGCAGGTTTATTAGACACTTCACTAAGTATATCATCAATTGAACGAGCGGAATCATCATCTAATGCATTTTCATTTAATTCTTGTACGATTTCATCAGCAGTTTGATTACGAGAGAAAATTGATCTCATTAATTTCAATGACATTCCATATTTTGCAATACCAAACAAAGCATCACCGACATTTGAAATCAAAGCAGTCATCAATGGAACAGCGCCTAGTGCCCATACGATGAAAAAAGTTCTACCAGCAGCTGTTTTTGGTGCAAAATCACCATATCCAATTGTGATTAAACAAAGAAAGCAAAAATAAACTGCGTCAAAGAAAACCCATCCTTCAGCAAAATGGAAAACTAGTGCTCCGATAAGCCAAAATGCAACAAAGACTATGATTGTTATGATTGTACTTGTATGATTTCCTCTATTTTTCGCTCTTCTTCTAATAGACCTTATTAATTCAAAAGATTCTTCAGATGTTAAGGATCTTCCTTCTTTTAGCAGTCTTTTATAAACTTTTTTCCTTTCGGATTCAACTTTATTCCATAAATGAATTGGAGCAGATGAAGACACAATAACACCTCTAATCATCGCAATGATTAAACCCAATATAATGACACCTGATAATGAATAAACTAATGATAACCCTTTTGTGACATTTGTGAAAGGTGTTATATCACCTAGTCCAATGGTTAACAATGAGGTTGTACAATAATACATTCCATTACCATATGATAAATGTAATAATTGTGAAAACATTGCAGCACCCCAAAGGAACCACACGGCTAATAGAAATGTATAAGCAATCAAACCTCTTTCAGAGATTTGTAAATTCAACTTAGCTGGATATTTACCCAATAAATAACCTAGGAAATTCATAAAACAAGTGAGTGAACACATTGAATATAGAATAGTGGTCAACACGGCAAACCAAAAACCTTCAGACTTTGTGTAATGACCTTGTTTAAAATAAACAATGTGTGCGATGATTATAGCAACCAATAAGATGATAGTACCCAGCATGAAGCAAACCACTGATAGGAGTTGAGATACTTTATAATTTAGTCTTTGACTAAAATTTAAAATCAAGCTAACATTTGCAATACATCCTAACGCTAAAGAAATTGCATTCAATGACAACACTGTAGGGGTATCCAAGATGTCTTGATTATGTTCACCACCAGCTCTCCATCTATTCACTAAGGCAGCCACTGAAATCATATTTGCCAAAGGACCAATACATGCTGTGATCACGGGTACTTCTGTTGCAATAAAGAACCAAAATATGAATTGGAAACTACCAGGTTCAACTTTTATATCACCAACTTTGGATTTTTCAAATGCTAAAGTTCCCTGAGGGATCCTCGAATCTATCTTTGTGAGTCTTCTATTCACACCAATTTGTACTGGAGCTCTCTGATGTTTTTGACGGTTGTGAAGATGTTGTTGTTTCTCTTCATCTTCGGGAACTTGTGGATTGTAATCCGTTGTACTGAGGTCCTTTGAGGGGTCTGTATCTTCACTGTCGACCATTCTTCAGATATTTCATTCTTTTTTCTATATGCTATTGAGAGTATGATCTATTTGGCCATTGATATTGTTTGTCGTTGTTCTGTTCACGTTTCCAATGTTTTGTTTTTTACCGGGTATAATTTTTTTTCTGATTCAAGCTCATCGCCTTAAATTTTGAACAACATGAGCCAATAAAAAGCAAAGAAGCATCGGAATTGACTTGAAAAAAAAGGATTTTGCAAATTATAATCATAATATTCAAAAATATAACCTCAAAAGCTCCAAAAAAAGGGGATTTCCCGGCAAAAAATAAAGTTCTCTGGACGAGACCGGAGTCGAACCGATGACCTTTTGCTTGCAAGGCAAACGCGCTACCAACTGCGCTACACGCCCGGGTTACAAAATTTTTAGATAAGCAGTTTGCTTAGTCATTTTCAGATCACGTGATATATTGGTTAAGGACGCATTTTTGAAAACACAAGTACAATAGAAAGTGTCATGATGTTATCAAATACTTCATTATTTAAACAACATTATACAGTACCCAGCTCAGAATATGAGTGAAATCAATACAGATGATAAAGTGATAAGAGTGTTTGTCGTGAGACA